TCAGTGCAAAGACCTTGGGTTCGGTTCCCCACGTACACACACACACACACGCAGACACACACACGCAGACACACACAGGCTCACTTGCCAACCCTGGCGTCAGACACAGGTCAGAGTCACAGCCAAGCCCCCGCCCGCCAGCAGCGCTGCTTCCCTGCCGCCTCGCCACAGCGCGTGATTCACGCATCCCTTCCCCCATTCACGCCCCTGCAGTGCGTGCTGAAGATACGCGTGCTCGCCTCCTGAGAGGACACCCAGCTGGCCTCTGAACCTGTGGTCTCCTCATCTCTGGGCACCAAGGCTTCGATCGGGATCTGCGGTCCCCACCGTGACTGCACACTTTTAACCTGCACTTAATACTGCGTGTCCGGGCAGCTCCATCAGACTCAGGGAGCCCAGCTTTCGGCATGTTTTACAGTCTCACCAGCTGATTCCAGTGCACGGCCCACACTCGGAGGGCAATACCCCCGAAATTTAATGGGCACACACCTGGGGTCCCTGTTACACATCCAGGCTGTGATTCGGGAGGTCTGGGCAGAGTCAGCGGAGGTTGCCCTTCTGATCCTTGCATCATGCTCATACAGCCGTCCATCGGCCACTCATACAGCCGTCCATCGGCCACATTTGGACTGGCAAACTCAGCCAATTTCCTTTTCCAGGTACATGGAAAAAGAACCTAAAATCACACATCTCACCATGTACACCTGGGCGGGTTGTGCACTGCACACAGGGAAGACGGGGCAGCCTTTCACGACAGCTGTGTCTATTTCTTGTGACAGTTTTCCAGCAGGTGGCAGTAGAGTGTTTTAAGGAAGGAGCTCAACCCGCTAAGAGGCTTCCTAAGTGTGGCTCCCAAAGGATTGGTGCTAGCAGGACTCACTTCCCAGGGCTGGACACGGCTGAACAGCAGCTGCCATATTGTCATTTAACACATTCTTTTGGGCTGCTACTTTTTTTTTCTTTTTGTTTTTTTTTTCTGGTACCGGGAATCAAACTCATGACCTCATGCTTGCCAGGCAGGCGCTGTGCCGCTGAGCTAAATCCCTGGCCCCCTCTTTTTTTTTTTTTTTTTTTTTTTTGGTTTTGGGTTGCTACTTTTTAAGGTGAGTTGCAATATTTGTTAAAAAAAAACTGAACCCGTCAGTCACTCTCCATTCTTCCTCTTCCGATGCCAACCCCCGACAACCACCAATCTGTGGTCTGTCTCTATGGATTTTCTCTTTCGGACATTTTATACAAACAGCATCATACAAGATGTAGCCTTTGATGCCCTAGCATCAAATACTCTACCTAGCATTGTATTTTAAGACACATCTGGGTTGTGGTCCTGGGGACTGAACGCAGGGCCTTCTCACTAAGCTACATCCCCAACCCTTTTTAAGAACTCTTCTTGGAGACAGGGTGTCGCTACCTTTCCCAGCTCCTGTAGACCCTTCCCAGGGTGGTCAGTCCCTTACCCCACCCCCATGGGCCCTTCCAGCCTGGCCAGGAGACCCCTCTGTCAATAGGATCCAGGCGGATGTCCTCAGGGTTTTCCCAGGCTCCTCCTCCAGCCCGGTCCTCTGTCTCTAACACAGTTGGACCCTGCTGTAGCCCCGGAAGCAGACACCGAAGTGGGATTCAAGGACGGGCAGCTCTGAGGGCAGCGGCCTGGGGACCCGCTGGGACAAGGGGAGGCTGGGTACAGAAGGGAGGAGGTCCTGACCCAATGGCCAGCACCAAAGGCCAGCGGGGATTAGCACCAGGGAGGGACTCTGGGGACTGGCAAGGAAGGGGCCCGGGGCTGCCCTCTCCCCATGAAGGAGACACCAGGGTGCTCACGTGCCAGGTGGCTCCCATCTGTCAGGAAGGCCCCGGGGGGCTCTCGCTGGCCCTGAGCACACCGCCTGCGAGAAGCTGGGCGCTGAGCATCTCCACCCCTCCCTCACCCTGGCCCTGGACCAATCACCTCTCCCTGCAGTTTTTCCAGAGCCTCTCTGGAAGCTGTTTCCCTAGTGTAAGCCCCGCGCTCGCCTCATCCACCCAGTAGCCAGCAGCGAGAGCCTGTCCCATGATGCCTGGCTGCAGCCTTGGCTCTTACTCTGTAACCTTGATCAAGAGACCCAGCTTCTCTCTCCCAAGGGGTCCCATGAGTACCTGGCTCCCGGGTTTGCCAGGAAGGGTAGAAGAGTTAGAGCTACTGTGCCTGGCACACGGTAGGTGCTACGAGGTGTGAGCAAAATATACGGAGAATAAATGTGAAAATTTTATTACAGTAAAAGAGGCATTGCCATGAATCCCATCGAAACACTCCCTTTGCCTTGAACACACTCTTCCCATTGTTCTTGCCACTTTCTGAAGCACTTCTGGAAGTCCTCTCTCCTGAGTGTCTCTAGTTGCACTGTCATGGCTGCCTTACTGCTCCCGAATCCACTCAAGGTGTTGACCTTTCATGGTCTCTTTGACGTTGGCAAAAGCCAGAAGTCACACAGTACCAAATCCAGTGAAGAAGGTGGAGGGCAACACACCGCAATGTTTTTACTGTAATGTGTCTTTTTGCTGGATGGCACATGGCATTCGCCGTAGCTTTGAGCACATCTTGTAAAGACACTCATGGAAGAGGCCTTGCGGAACTGTTTCAGAAGGCAGCAAGAGTGGTGGTTTGAGCACTGAATGTGAGCATTTTATTTAAAAATGAATAAAACAATTGCAACTTTTTCATTATTATTCATATTCCTCAAGAGGAACCCCAGGCTCCTAAAGATGATCGATTGGTGACACTGGCATGGTCTCCCCTTCACCGGCCCCCCAACCCAGAGCGTGTCGAAGGGTGGCCCCCAGAAGGCACATACCCCTGGCACCTGTGAATGTCACTTGGGAGAGTGGGACCCTGCAGATGTGCCTAAGGATCTCATCCCGGCATCTAGTGATGTATATGCTAACAAGAGGAGGAAGGGCTATAGGCTCTGGAGGCTGCAGGGGGTCAGATGCGGGAGGGGGCCACTAGCCAAACAATGGTAGGAGCCTATAGAGAGGACCCAGGCTTCTCCAAAGAATGACCCAGGCCATCTCCACCACTGAAAGACCCAAGAGGGGGTGTTGCTGGGGCAGCTACAGGAGACACTTGGAACCCAGCACTTGGTGCCAAAGTGCCCACAACTGGGTACTTGAAATAACAGAACTTTGTTGTCTGCAGGCTAAAAATCCAGTCAAAGCTTGCTTCCTCCTGAGCACAAAGCAAGGATCTCCTCCGTGTGTCCCTCAGCGCCTGGCAGTGTGCTGGCCGTGGAGGGTTTGTGGCCGTGTCACCATGGTGTCCACCTTCTTCCTTTCACAGCCCTCTCCCCGTGTCTTGTCTCTTCGGGTGGCTCTGTACCCCAAGTTCCCCAGTTTATAAGGACACTGCACAAGGGCCCACCCTGGGGACTTCCTTTTAACTTGGTTGCCTCTGAAAAGAGCTGGCTCCAGATAGAGTCACATTCTGAGGTCCTGGGAGTTCGGCTGTCACTGCTGGGGGACACCGTTCAGCCCCAACGGTGACACCCCCAGGCCTCCCGACTGCTCTTCTCACAGCTGCGGAAAGGTCTGTGTGGATCCCCTTGGCCAGGGGCCACACCTCGGCACAATCCCCTTCCTTGCTGGCGGCTTGGCGAATGTCCCCTGCTTCATGCTCCGCCGTGCCACCTCCTCCAGGAAGCCACCTGGTTCCCATCAGCCTACGCTCCGTGCCCGCCATGGTGTCTGCGGGTGGCATGTGCTGGGTGACCGGCCAAGTCCTCCTCACACTTTGACTCTGGGCCTGAGGACAAGGGTCTTGTCTCTTGCTCCGCCTTTTTTGAAGGTGACTGACATCCAAGAAGCGGCACCTATGTAATACACACAGTGTGGTGCTAAGTCTGTACATGACGCCGTCCCCATCAGTGCCACACACACGCCTGCCACCTCCAAGCACCATCTCCCAGGCTAGTTACTAGGCTGGGTGGCAGGCCCTGAGATGACACAGCTGACGTGTCTTGCACACGGGCGCACACACTATCCCTGCGTGTGTCTGCTCACAGCGGAGCCGAGGCACGGGCCTGGGGCTGTCCCACCTGGCTCTGCCTCCTGGGTGAGGCCTGCCCTGCAGCCTGCAGTTGCAGGGGCTCCTTCCCCTGGCTGGCATCCCTGTGACCGGAGAGGCTGCGTGACCTCCTCCCAGGGCAGGCGGGAGGGGACAAGCCTGGGGCGGGTGGTGCAACACACCGAGGCCGTGGGGCCGCCCGAAGATGGGAGACCCCGGAGGGGGCCGGGTTTGGGGTGGGAATAAAAGGCGCATTCGCAGAAGAGTCTTCGCCAGGGTCTGGGACTCAGAGGCCACCACAAGCCAGCAGCAGCTGCTCGTCCACAGCGTGCCGCAGTCTGGCAGCCACAGCAAAGCCGCTCTGTTCGAGCCATCTGTAGGAAAACGGACGCACCTTGAGCCCATAATGCTAAGTGAAGTAAATCAGACCCAGAGGACGCACTACTGACTTAAAAAGCAAAATAAGAGATGGGAGGAAATGGAGAGCCGGGAGACGCAAGGGGAGCGGGGTGCAGGAGAGGTAAAATGACTGCAGTGCCGTCTGTACGTGGACCAGCTCCCCAAGGTGGGTTTATAAGCATGACATAGCACAAACACACACCAATAAACAACAAAAAAATGCAGAGGCCCAGGCCTCTCCCAGCCTCTGGGTCAGAACCTGCAGTCACAAAACCCCCAGGTAGCCCCAGAGTGCAGGGTTGGGTCTATGCCAGGCTCTCACCGGGAAGGGACCGTGTCCCCTGGCAAGGTCCGGAGAATTCTTCGACGGCCACAACAGGGCAGGCACTTCTGGTGGATGAGGCCAAGGACACCAGCGGGCACAGTGAACCCGACAGCCCCTGCACAGCTCCGGCCCCCATGGTCAAGCGTCCAGTGTGAGGTCTTCAGGCGGGGCCACCTGGGCTCAGGAGAGGAGGTGCTGCCCCCCCCCGCCCCCCAAGCCCCACAGAAAGGCCAGGCGTCAATGAGTCACTTACAGTTTATTTTTGCCTGAAAGTATTTCACATCTCTTTGTACACAGCTACGTGACAGTAGTATTAACCATCAGGAAAAGCAACAGTGCGAGGGGAAAGGTGGCATGTCTTGTTTCTTTTTTTTTTTTTTTTTTTTAAATTTTTAAATGGTTTTTTGTGTATGTTTTTTGGGGTTTTTTTTTTGTTTGTTTTTTTCGTTTTTGCTTCTGCTTCCTCCTGCACCAGAGTGCTATGGAGTACGGAACGGGGTGGGGGTGGGGGGACTAAAACCAAACAATAGAAAACAACAACAGAAAACAGAACACAAAACGGAACACACTCTCACACACACACACACACGAAATAAAACCTGGCACGGAAAATGAATTAAGACTGAAACCCAATTTCTCTCGTTTTTTTTTTTCCTTTTTTAAAAAAATGAGGGCATCATTGAGGGGGGTAATAAAGTCTACCTAGCAAAGTATAAAACGACAAAAGCATGGTTTCCATTGAATAAGATTAAATATATATAAAACAATTACATCCACTGTGGGTTAGGTTTGGAGGTGCCAGAGGGGAGATGGACTTGTGCTAAACCAACAGAAAAGGGGGCTGCGGGACAGGGGATCCCAAAGAAGCCGCCGGGGGCTGTTCTGTACAGTGAGGGCTTGTTAAGAAAAAGCGGGCCGTTTAGAAAAGAAACGGGAGGTCGGTTTGTCCGGGCGCGGGTGTGGGACAGAGGGGCATCTTTGCTGCACTGACGGGCGGGCGGTGGTCAGGCTGGCGGGGGTGACATTTCTCTCTCCTCCCAAGAGACCATGCAGAGAGGCAAAGACACAGGCATGCGGGACGGGGCAATGGGGGGGGGCGTGATGGCAGGGGAAGCCGCAGGCCCAGAGTCTTAATTGGGGATGGGGACAGCAAAGGCTGCTGGAGTTGGGGGGTGGGGGGGCGGTTAGCGCCCCCTTCCAAATCTAGAAAAGGGGGCGAGGACAGAGCTTGGGCCTTCAAGTAGCAAGACGACGATGTGGGGACCCCTCTTCTCCTTCCTCCCCCCAGCCTGACTCCTACCCACGAGGAAGCTGAGACACCTGGAAATCAGAAATATACAGGTGGGCAGGGTGGGTGGACGGACGGACGGATGGGCGAGCATTAGCATATGGAATCCATTACGAAAAAGCAATTAATTTTCCAAGGAGGGTCTTTTTTTGTTTGTTTTTTTCTTTCTCTTTTTTTTGTCTGTTTCCTTTAAAAAAATAACAATAAAACTACCACTAACCCAACAGCTGACTGACTGGTACAGTACTACACGCGGGGGCGGGGGCGGGGGCGGGGACGGGGAGGGGAGGGTCAGACTTCATAAATAAGAGCAGGTCCCAGACCCACAATTTGTCAACATCTCTTAAATAGGTGCATTATTTAAATCTTATGTACAACAAGAACCATTTTGCATAGCAATGGTGAGGACACAGGACGGCGACGACGGGACTGGGTCTTCGGGTCCCCAGCGGCGGCGGGGCGAGGTCTCAGCTCCACGCGCCTGCCTGGCGCCTTGCGGCCGGAAGAGCATCCTTGTCCGGCCTTCGAGATGGTGGCGTCGGAGTCGCCCTTCCACGCGGCGGCGTTAAACACAAAGGCAAAGAAAATCCACAAAGGGTCCCCACCCGCGCCTCCCCCACCCTCCCGACTGGCTGCCGCTCTTGCTGCCCTTGTTGCCAATGTCCGTTTCAGATCCGGCCAAAGGTTCCGAGTGTGAAGCTAAAAGAATTAGGCGGGGGCCGGGCGAGCTCGCAGACCCCCTCCCCCCTCCGCCCCCAGACTCCCCCATCTATCCCACAGCAGGCGCGGGGCACCTGCACCGCTGCTCTACGGCTATTAGTCAAGAGTCGCTTCGTCGCGGCTGCAGTGTCACCCTGCCACGCGCCGGGAGCTTCACCAGGCTTCTGTGTAGCGGACGTCCACCTCCTTCAAGTTAGGGAGCTTGGCCTGCGGGGGCAAGAGGGGTCCCGTCACCCACCAGCCACTTCTGCGAACCTGGCGGGCCCACTTCCACCCGCGTGGGTAGCCGGGGTTGCCCCTGGCGGCCCCTATGGGTGGGGCTCTGGAGGGCTGGGTGACGTGAGGCCATGGGCTCGGGATCTGGCTTTGGGACACAAAGACTGGACTTGAACTTGGCTCTGCCCCTGAGCACACCGCTGGCCTCCCTGGGCCTCAGTTTCCTCACGTATGGAGTCAAGTTCCTGGCTCAAAGGACATGGTAGGGGCTAAACATACACTTGCCACGTGCCAGGCATGTGTGCGCGCGCATACCCCCGCCACACATGCGCACAGCTCCTGGGCTCCGAGGCACTCAGTGGCTCCCCGCTTCCCAGGCACAATGGCAAGCTGGGGGCCTGCATCACAGCACTGCGACGCTGGAAAGCGAACTCACGCCTTTCCAGGTTAGGAGGCTGCAGAGAAGGATCTAGACTGCCAGCTTCTCTTGAAAAACAGGAAGACTGCGCGAGATGAGGCCGGGAGCCTGTGGCTTGGCCTGCCTGGCTCTGGGCAGGGCCTCCCTCCCACGCGGGGACAGAGCGCGCTCCGGGCAGGGGTCATGCCAGCCACACCGAGGTGTCCCCACCCCCGGCCCAGGCCTGGCACAGGGCAGCTGCTCGGTGAGCACATGGAGGTGGTCATTCGGCAGCCCTGGCTGCAGCAGGCCCTGGGGCAGGTGGGCCTCGGTCCGAGGACGTGCACGGGGACGGGTGGCAGGCAGCTGCAGGTGGCACCACCCTCCCTCCACCCAGGGCCTCTTCCAGTCTGAGTCTACCGGGCTGCCTCGTCCTGCTACCAGCCAGGCCGAGGCGGTGTGACCCACCAGCCCTGTAAAAACTTTGCTTCCACTGTGGCTCCCACTCAAAAGCCTCTTGTAAAACTCAGCTCACTGCCCCATCCACTGCCCTGCTGAGGCCTGGAGGCTGGAGGCTTCCTCCTGGGCTTGGGTGCAATCCAAGTCCTTCTGCACCCTACAGGATTTTCTTTGCTTCTGTCCCCTAATACTTCAGTTACTCCCAGCTGCATTTGCTACATCAGTTCCTGCCCATCTCCTGCCTCAGGGCCTTTTACCTGCTCGTCCTCCTGCCCTGGGTGTCCTATCCCACAGTCTCAGGATACCTGGCCTCTTCTTCAAAGCAACCATCCTGCCTGGTATCTCCCCAGCTCCAGTCTCCCTGCTGGCTTCCTCCTCATCACTCCACTCCCCTTTGGCCTCCTGACCAGCTGGTGTAAGAGCCCCTTTCTGGGAAGGCAGCGAGATGGCATCTACGGGCGCAGGCTGGCCACGGGGAGGGAGGGAGTTACCTTCAGATCTTCGTAGGTATCAGCCGAGAGCTTGGTGCTGTTCATGTTTAAGCTGCAGAGACTCTTCATGGCTGCACGAGGACAGACAGACAGACAGACAGTGAGACGGCATGAGGGACCACTGCAGGTGTGCGACGGCCCAGCTGGGGACTGCCTGGTGAGGTCTCCCGTGAGAAGGTGGGGGGTGTCAATGCCGCCGGTGTGGCCCGGCAGAATGGAAGTCTCTTTCAGGCAGTGCTGGTGGGAGCTGGGTTCTCTCCCTGCCTGTCCCTCTGTCACGTCCCTCCCTGCCAGCACCAGATGTCCCCAGAGCTCAGGGGACAAGGCCCAGGCCACCCACACAGGCCAGGCCTGCCCTCCCCCGTGGAAACCCTGGATGTTCTCCCGGTGGGTGCTGACTCAGGTCCAGCCCCTCGAAAGCCAACCTCGGGCTTGGGTTTGTCTGGGAGTCACGTGGGCCCGTGTTAGGGCTGTGTGGCCCCCACCAGCTCCCACAGAACCTGCTCGACCTGGACCCCCACCGCCCGCCCACCCGGAATTGCCAACCCCCTTGCAGGGGCATGGCCACTCCCCAGAGGAATGTCACCTCCTGTGATCAGTCACCACACCCAGGCCCCTGCTGCCTCCGAGGAAGCCTCCAACCCTCCAAGCTGAGCCACAGGGGCTCGAGTCTAAAGCAGCAGATCCGGAAATGGAAAGCTGGTCAAACGCGGATTCCCAGGCCCCGGGATGATTTCAATAAATCAGGGCCGAGGCTAGGAGCCAGCATCCCAGATTCCCTGGGTGTTCTGAGTGCCACCTATGGAGGAGCACTCCTCACCCGGGGCCAGGCCTGGGGATCGCCCTGCTGCCTGGGTACCGTGCAGCTTCTCTGCCAGGTCTGGAAAGGCTGAGAACGTGCATTTCCGACCAGCTCGCAGGGCCGGCGGCTGGTTCGAGACGCAGCAGCGACCATAGGGCACTCAGTTTGCATGTGGTCACTCAGCAGACTGGGCAGGGGGAGGGAAGGGCTGGTCCCACTCGCTTCTCCTTTCCCACTGCACGCCAAGCTCCATGAGGGCCGGGGTACTGGGCCTGAACCCCAGCAGCCAGCACGCGCCTGGCACTCAGCACCGGGCACAGCCTGCTATGGGGAGGACTCACAGCTGAGGGCCAGCAGGCCGGCATCGGTGACGGGCGTCTCGCACAGGTTCAGCACCTGGAGCATGGTGAGGTGTTCCGACAGGAGCCGCAGGCCGGCGTCTCCGAACTGCGGGGCACAGGGACGCTCAGGCCTCTCCCAGACCCCGGGGACGCGACTCCCCGGCCAGGCAGAGGTGGAAGGAGGCGGGGCTGAGCCCACCCACCCTAGGGCTTGGGGTCTGGCTCCCCACTTTCCTGCGTGGAATCAAACGCTTCCCTGTCCTGGGTTCGGGCGGAAGTGGCCCAGCTGGGGTGAGTTTGGCCATCTGCCAGGGAAGCTTTGACCCTAGTGATGCCCCAGTGACCAGGAAGGGCAGAGGTGGGGGCAGCGGGCCGGGAGGAGGGCGGCCGGGCGCACCTGAGTGGACCACAGGTTGAGCTGCTTGAGAGAAGGCAGTTTGATGAGGTGCTCTGCGCAGGCACTGGTGACATTGGTGAAGGCCAAGCTGAGGTTCTCCAGGTTTCCAAAGGAGCCCGAGCTCAGCAAGCGAGCCAGGTCGGCATCCTGGGGACACGGGGGGCCGGGCTCAGGGCAGCTCCATGGAGCGGGGCCCCCTTCCCAGACCCCACACCTTCCCTGCCCAGCACACAGCTGCTCCCGGGCGTCCTGCAGGCGACACCATGCTTGGCATGCAGGGCCAGTAGAGGGCTTCCGCAGGGGCTCACAGCCCGAGCCACCACGGGGCGTTCCGAGCTCGTGCCCCTCCCAGAGTGCACACATGTGCACACACACGTCTCGTGACCTTGTCCTTGCTTCTGCCTGTACCCCCATGCACCCGCCGAGGCCACCTCCCCTCTGAGGCCTCAAGAAGCCAGCACATGCCAGCACCAGCCGTGAGGGCCGAGGGGCGTGTCCATGTCCCATCCTCCCGCAGCCTTGCTGCCCTGAGTAAGGCTCGCTTCCTAGCCCCGTCTGCAGCCAACCCTGACACCTGGTGTGAACGACACTTCCAGGAAGGTTCTTAAAAGGAAGGGCATGTTCTCCCCTGCTCTTCCTCCTTCCTGCTGGCCGGGATGGAGACACAAGGGCTGGAGCTTGGGCAGACTTCTAGGGTCCATGAGGGGGAGCCATGTGTGAGGGGCAGGGGGCAAGCAGGTGAGAAGGAAATGGGAACTGCAGACAGGCGAAGCTCACAGGGTGGTCGTGAAGGTAAAATGAACCAATGCTACGGCATGCGGCATATACACACCCAGTGTATGTTCGTTACTATTATCATTACCACTAACAGTAACTGGTAACGTGTTACCCTTCACGCCATCAATGATACATATATTTACTTATTCTGTGGTGCTGGGGATTGAATCCAGGGCCTCCTGCATGCTAAGCACATGCTCTACCAAGTGGCCACACAATGTCACCAGGCGGCCTTATCATGGTATTTTAACTTCCTTCTAGGTTCTCGTTTGTCTTCTGGAAATGCCCCGTCACCTCCCCCCACCCTCCTTGTCCAGAGCCCCGCCGCACTCACTGTGGACTTTGAGGGCAGTGTGAGCCTGGTGGGCCCGCCTTTCCTTTGCTGCAATGGAAAATCGAGGGGTTAGGGCTGTGTCTCGGTCCCGCCCTGGGGCCCCTCTGCAAACTCCCCTCCAGGAGCTGGGGGGACTTGGAGGCAGAGGGAGGCATGGTGGGCGTTTGAGCGCAGGCTGCTTTTGGACTTAAGACCCAGAAACACAGGGAGGGTGCAGAGGGAGGGAGACGGTGCCGCCACCCACCCAGTCCCACCAGTGCCAAAGCCCACAGGGCGCTGCTGTGTCCCAGGGGTCCCGCTGGGCTCGGGCTGGGCATGGCACACCCTGTCCCAGGATTGCAGGTGAGGGCGGCCCCGGGAGGCGGGCACCATATACCCTGTCCCTCTGTCCTGCTGGGCACATACACTTGTGGACAGAGATGCCCTTGGCAACGGGGCACAGGGGCTGGCGTTTGGACGAGGGGCTTGTGTTGGAGTGGCGGAGGTTGGCAGGACGGGGGACAGCGTCAGTCCCAGCCTGGCCCTGCATGGGCTGCAAGACCCAGGCCACTTGCTTTATCTCCCTGCCCCTCCGGATCGCCCGGGAAGGGGCCGGGGCTGACCCCACCCTCCGAGGGCTGCGGGGTCGGCGACGCGGGCCAAGGGGCGGACGCACCAGCTCCTTCAGCTCCCGCTGCCGCTCGCACAGCTGCTCGTACATGCGCTTGCCCACCTCGGTGCTCTCCAGGGTGGAGATGATCTGCAGCTGCGTGTCGTTGTTGTCGATAATGTTGTACTCCAGCATCAAGCACAGGATCTGAGGGACACAGCGGGCGACGGGCGTGGGAGGGTCTCCCAGGGGGCGCGGGGCGTGAGACCCCAGCCTGGGGCAGCAGCTCCCCCCCCACCCCCGCCTGAGGCCCCACTGCGCAGGGACGGCAGCGTCCTCCAGGCAGACGTAGGGCAGGCCCTCGCTGATGCAGGAATAGGCGCCCTGCTAAGACAGGCCCCCTGTCTCTTATCCCGGTTGGAACCGGGCTCACAGCGGAGTAGGAGCAGCTCGCTGGGGCAGGGCCCAGCAGGACACGTTTCCTAGGGGCATCGTGTGTCTGCAAGTGCTGCCCTCCCACCCACCACAGCACCCTCCCTGCTCTGCCCAGCCAGTCACAGGAAGTCAAGGATAAGCCCAACCCCTCCCCAGTACCTCTGGCTCCAGCCATGCCCTGTAACTCCCCTCTCAGCTCACCACACCCCAGCCACCCTGTCTTTCAACAAGCCTCTTTCTGCCACAGGGCCTTGGTATATGCTGTCCCTGGCTCGCTGCTGACCTCTCCTTGGTCCTCAGAGCTCACTGTAACTCCCATTGCTATGAGAAGCTTGTAATTTTATTTTTATTATTTTGAGACAGGGTCTCACTACGCAGTTCAGGCTGGCCTTGAATGTACCATGTAGCCCTAGCCAGCCTCAAACTTACTGAAATCCTCCTGCTTCAGCCTCCCAAGTGCTGGGATGACGGGTGGGCATCACCATAGCCGGTTTAAAGCCTGAGGCTTTAAAACAGGCCTGCAGATACCCTGATGCTCTTCCCCCTGCATGAAGTTCTCCTCTGTTCCCTGACTAATGAGCCGGTGTCGTGACTCACTTCTACAGCCTGGAATGTGGCAGTGATGTTGCCTGATTCCCAAGGTTAAGCTAAATAGGCAACGCAGCTTCTGCCTGGCTTCTCTTGGGACAGCTGCTGTGGGAGCCTCAGGCTTCTGGGGACTTAGTGGTTGTGGCAGTGGGAAGGCAGGGACAGAGGAGGAGCAGGAGAGTGAAGTACCCAGGACCCGAAAACAAAACAAATGCAGATGCTGGTTTTTTTTTTTTTTTTTTGAGACAAGGTTTCCAGAGTGGCCTCGAACTCACTATCATGGCCTTGAACTTGCAGCAATCCTCCTGACTCAGCCTCCTGAGCGCCGGGATTACAGGTATGCGCCACCACACCCGGCCAATATGTTGTTCTAAGTCCCCGCTTGGGGCTATTCTGCTGCATGGCAGTAAATGACTAGACCAGAGACTGGCCACAACGGGAATGACAGCCATTTGACAAAGGTGCCCACTACACTCAGGAGGGCTGCAGCCGCCCCTGCCTCACCCACCTCTGTGCCCACACAGTCTCCGAGGAGGGGGCCCAAGCCAGCTCCTTACCTCCACCATGGTCTGGTTGCCCCTCAGAGCCAGGAGCATGCAGGGGCCCAGCTTGTTTTCCGCCAGGGAGAGCAGGAATTTTTTGGTCTTGTAACACGAGCCCATGAGGATGTGCACCTGTGGGGGGAGGGCCCAGGTGAGCACAGGGCTGTGGGGCGGGACGGGCGGGCCCGGCCTCCCGCATGCTGGGGACGTAGAGCAGCCCCACTCCGTCCGCACTGGACAGACGGTGAGGCCTTCAGGATCTATGGGCAGTCGCTGGGGACATGTGAGCCATCCCCGCCAGACCTTGAGGACAGAATGCCTATTGCAAAGGGACTCAGGGCGCCGGGGACAGCCACATCCCGAGACAGGGCCGCCGTGGCTGTCGGGGCCTCGGGTCAGCGTTTAATGGACGCCGAGTTCCAGTCGGGATGGAGAGCGTTCTGGAGACGCTTGTTGGAAACCGGTGACCTTGGAACCGTGACAATCAGAAATCAGGAGGCACGGAAGCTTAAATAGGGCACGGTTTCCCTAACACGAGAGACCCCAGCTACAAATGAACAGTGAAATAAGAGGCTAAGGAACGGGCAGGTGGATTCTGCAGGGATGGAAGCGGACAGCCTGGGGGAGGAGGAGGAGGAGGAGGGTGAAACGACCAAGATTCGAGGTGTGTGCGTCAAACCCCCAGGCCGAGTGCAAGCCCCGCTTACGCAAACGTACACTCCTGAAACGCCGTTTCCGAGTGGGTTGTGGTGACGGCTTTGTACCACCACTCAAGGCCACTGAGACGTGGCATTAAAAAATGGATGGAGTGGCCACTTTTAAATTTTATATGTATTTTACCCCATCAAAAAAGCCCCCCACAGCTCCCCTCTGGGGGATCGGGGGCCCCTGGTCCCCTGAATTCCTAACACCGCTGGAACCAGGTGGAAATTTCTGGGCAGCCCTCGCTTGGGGGTGCACAGGCCTGGTCTCATGTGGGGGACAGCATGTTTCACACCCCACTTCCATGCGCTCCGAAGGGCATCTTGGGGAGACTGCTCCCCCGTGTGGTCTGAGGATCGGCAGTCTGTTCCCTCCGGGGTCATGTGCTGGGTGGGTGGGGGTCCCTGACCAAGTCAGCGGGGGAGCCCCCTCCCCCAAGTTCACACGACAGCAAGTGCCCTTCTGGGTTGGAAATGGCAGCTGAAGCCAGGGACCGCAGCCTTGCCGTGGTCTCCATGGAAACCACGCACCTCCATCCCCGCGGCCACCTGCCTCCTCCCCGTGTATATGTATTTTCTGCTCTACCATTAACAACTCTGGCATACAGATGAGAGCTCCTGGCTGGGAGGCTGCCAGCTCCTCAGCGCCCTCACACTGAGTCGCCGCCCCGAGGGGTGGGGGGCTGCTCAGCGTTGGCATGGTAAAACTGTGACGTCAGAGGCGTCCAGAGGGAGGCAGAGGTGAGGACGAGGGAGGTGGCGCAGGCGGGCAGGGCTGGCGGTGCGGGACGCTCAGAAGGAGCCTGGTGGCGGTGGGAGGGTGGAGAGGGAAGAGGAAGGAAGAGGACCTAAAAATAAGCCCCTTCAAGTGGGGCCCCGAGGCAGCGCCTCGCTTTGTCGTCACAGCACAAGCGTCTCCACGGGTGACCCAGCTGCTGGCAGGGATGAGGATAACATCACCCACACAGCGGCCAGCATCTCCGGGCGCAGGCCAGCTCTCTCCCCGCCTTACGGGCGACAGAGCAGCAGCTCAGAGAGCCGAGGGACCAGCCCGAGGTCCGCAAGCCAGTGGGCAGCCGAGCTGCGGCGCGAGCCCAGGTCTGGCGAGTCTGCGAGTGCCGCGCTTTCGCGCCGGCACGTGAGCCTGTCAGTGAGCGGTGTTGCTGAGGTCGCTGGCCACCCTGGCAGAGCATCTGTCCTGGGCAGGAGGAGCGTGTGACCTCCGCCACTGGAAGAAGGGGCTGCCTCTGTCGGAGTGCGCTTGGCCAAAGAAAAGCTCGCAGAGGAGGCCTGTGTGACCCTGGGCAAGGCGCTGAACCTCTCTGGGCCTCCGTTTCCGCCCAGGTGTAAGGAAGTGACGGAGCCTCTGTGCAGATGAGGCAGGCAGGTGGGAGCCCAGCGTGGCCCGGCCACTAAGAAAGGACTGGAAGTCACTGTGGAGGCAGCTAGGGTTCGGTGGCCTCACAACCCTCAGCTGCGGGGGGACAATCACGCTGACCTGGCCACCTCCCTGAAGGGTTAGGTGAGCCGGTGGCTTGGCAGTGCCTTCCAGATTGCCCGGCTCCTGCTAGCCACTCAGTCTCCCACACCACTACACGCGCCCCCCGCGTGTCCCCGCCTCCCAGAGCTCCTGGCTCAGACAGGAGATGAGCAGGTGACAGTCATCACTTCTCTGTGACCAGCACCGCGCTGGCCTGGACACGGGCGGGCAGGCGACAGCATGCTTGGGGCAGCCAGCCCCGCACGCAGCCCAGCAGCCCCGCTCTGCAGCGTACCATGCTGGCGAACAGCTCCCCGTCATCGTCACAGGCCACCCCGCCGGGGCTGTAGAGCTGGAACCAGCCGTCCTTGCCGGCTCGCACGCTCAGCAGGCATGAGTGCACCTGCGGGCAGAGGAGACACGGGTCTAGTCAGTTTCCCACACGGCTGGTGACAGCGGGACCGGAGGCTGCAAGGGACATGCTGGAGCCCCAGCAAGCCCAGCAGTCGGGAAATCTCTCTCACTTTGCTTCATCCGTGGCTCTCGGCCTTGTATTGAACTCCACGGAGGCAGCGGGGAACACTGGGGTCTCCAGGCCCAGGGGGACCTGAGTTGTGTGCCCTCCCCGGGGCTGGGGACCAGGGCTCTCCAACGCAGCCGCTCTGCCTCAGCCTCCTTTCCTGTAGTCCTTCTGGGAGGGCCATTTCCTTTCCTTCTTTCCTACACAAGGCTGGGTCTCTGTCCCTGTCCCCACTGGGCTTCTGCTGCCCCCGTCGCAGACCCTCTCGGGTGTCTGCCTCCTTCCTCCCCATTTCCTGTCTTCGCCTGTGTGTGCCGCACCCTCCCTGGGTCCCAGTCCCGCTAAGCCCTCCAATGCGTATGTGTCCCCCTCTGTGAGGGGTCTCCATCCATGGTCAGGGTGATGTCAGCACCCAAAGCACAGCCCTTGAATTCCTTCCCAGAGCGGTGTGTGTCCCCGTGTATGCACACACGCATGTGCATCTGGGAGGAATTCCTCATGCACTCACTCGGGCCCGCTGTGATGAAAGACAGGACACACACAGGCCTTTGTCTGTCACGCCCCTCCCTCTCGTCCTTAGGAGCAGCTGAGAGAGCCGTCAGTCCTTCAGGAGCAAGGGACAATCTGCCACAGGGAGCCAGGTGCGGCAGGAAGCCGGTCATGGCCCATGCACGAGCACAGAGGGTGCAGAGGCAGTGAGCTTTTATGTCTTCCCAAGCCTCAACTACCCCACTTCACAGAAAATTAGAACTCAAGGGTATGAAATGCTGCTGCTCAAAAACTATGGCAAAGAATTTAAGGGGAAGCTGAGGCAGGAAGGTTGTAAATTCGAGCTCAGTCCAGGTACGGCCTGAGGGTGGGGATATAACTCAGTATGAAGGTCTTGGGTTCAATCCCCAATGCTAGGGGAAAAAAAAAAAGGTCCAAGAGGAGAAACAGAGCCACAGGCAACAGCCTGCTGGGGGCTTTATGCGGGCTCCTGAATCCTCCCTAACCTGCAGCCTCCTGAGGCCTAACCAAGGTGCCTGCTGGGAAACCCCCAGCAGCTCGCCCTGCCTCTTCCTTCTGAGAAGCAGCTAGTGCTACGTCTATTCTCTAAGTTCAAAGTCTGAGTTTGAGACAAAGGGCCCCTCTCCAGGAGAGGCCTGTGGAGCTGTCTTCGCACCCTGTAAGGGAGGACCGAGGCTGAACCCCGTTGGGACGACCACTGGGCCTGGCCGCGCCTCAGCTCCTCCCCAGCATTTGTGCTTCCCCCGGAGCCCGAGGGTTGAGAGCGGGTTTCAGAGCCGAATCCTAGAAATGGGCTTTGTGAGGTGGCCCGAAGACCATGTCAGAACCACGTAGGTGGTGGTTCAAAATGTAGATGCGGTCCAGTCCAGATCCAGAGACCCAGGCATGCCGGGGCGTGTGGGGCCTGTGGGGGTCTCACACAGGCAAGGCCTTTGGTCTGTGTGTCCCCAGATGCCATCTCAGACCCCACCCTGTGGCCCAGCGCTGGCTTTTCCAGGCCCGAGTCCAGTTTCCAGCCCCGAGTCCAGTTTCCAGCCCCGCTTCGGTCCTTTCAGCCAAACCCACACGCTCGGCCCCTCCTCCTCCAGGAAGCCGTCCTGGGGGCCCTAGAGAGAGCGCCTCGCTTCCGCCTTTGCCATCCTGCTCCCTGCTCTGCTAGGCACACACGTCCAGGCCTATCCCCGTCACATTTCAGAACCCGTGCGCAGGTTGTGGTGGGCCCAGAGCCCCTGGGGGGCGTCCCAGGGTGCAGTGCCTGGTGAGGTACATGGGCCTGGAGCCAGCCATGCTGGGCTCGGTCCTGCGAGGCTGCGGTCCAGCCGTGCTCCCTCGGGGAGGTGACCACATCAGTCTGCTGCACTCTGAAAGGAGGTGTCTCTGACGTAACTTGGGCTGAGTGGGTGCAGGCACGAGCCTGCCAGGACCAGCCTGTCACGAGGGCCAGGTGCCAACACGAGGACACCGCGATGCTGTGGCGCCTTCCTAGCTGACATGCACGGGCTCCGGTGGGCATCCATCCTGTCCCTGGAAACCTCGCTTTTCTGAGGGACATCATGGCCGCTCCAGGAGGCCCCTGGCTGTCGCACTCAGGAAAGGAAGACCAGGTCAGGTTTCAGTTCAGAGCCCTTCCTCACCCTGAACCACGGAACATCAGCATCCAGGCAGCCCCTCCTAAGTCCAGGCCTCTGTGGCACACAGAAGCCTCCAGCCAGGGGGACTCGACCTCTGAGGTCACAGGCAACACCAGCACGACAGTGGGTCCTACGTGCGTGGCCGTCCACACTCACAGTGAGGGGCCTCTGAACTGTACCGGGTGCCTGGTGACAAGCAGCCCCCGGAGCCTTAGGAGGTGTCTGAGAAGCTGTCCCTGACAGCTGTCTGCGATGCCGAGGAAGGGTTCCTGGGGCCAGGAGTGCAGCGCGGGAGAGGCCCTGGGTTCCACTCCCTGCACCTGGAAAACAAACACGGACTCACCTCTTGTCGAGGGTCTTCCGCAAACCTCTGAATCACGTACTTCAGCTCCCTGGAAAAGACCAGGCGGGGGGAGAATCAGCCACAGGCCTGGGTGCATGCGGGGGGGCCGAGGCGCAGGGCAGGAGGGGGCTGTGTCACAAAAGCAACTGGGCAGGTGGGGCAGATGGGGACGCAGGCGCAGCCGCAGCCGCGTTTCCTTGGCCATGCATCACAGGATGCAGCGCTGGGGACAGGCAGGAAGGAGGCTGGCCGCAGCGGGGCGGCCTCAGGACAGAGGCCACGCATGCGAGGAGGTGAGGGGGCGCGGCCCGGGTACTCACTTGGTGAACTTCTCGTGTGCGAGAGCTCTGCAGCGGAAACAGAGGAAAGCAGTCAGTGCGGCATGGAAAGCGGCCCGGGGCTCAGAGCATCCTCCCGGGACTCCCGGCCCCCACGGGACCCGAGGAAGGAGGGGGCGTGGAGGGGGCGTTGGGGAGGAAAGGCTGCCGTTCTGTCCCTGCCCAAAGCTCCAACAAAGGGCCTCTTTGGGGAGGCGACAGAGGACGAGGCTGAGCCCCAAGGCCACCATCAGGCCCACGCCTGTCCACAGCAGTGACCCCGAGGGTGAGGGTGTGTGTAGGGGCTCCAGGGACCCAGGTGTGTTTGTCAATCCTTCCACAATTACGGCCGTGCTAATTACCGCCGCGCATGGGCAGGCAAGCGGGACCTGCTGCCGCGCGAACGGCATCCTGGGCCCTGTCAGGTGCACCCTGGGGCCTGTGGGGACGGCGCCGCCGCCAGTGACGCCACAGCCCTTTGGAGAGCACTGCGGCTCCCAGGAGTCAGATTTCTCCGGTCTCCAGCCCTGAGGGGGCCGTGGGGACTGGCAGGGCCAGCAAATAGGGCCATTACCGAGTGTAATGTCCCCTCTGGGGAGCTGCATTTCACAAACACAGGCTTGTTAATGGGCTCCGGAGAGAGGGCGCGAACCCCCAAAGCCACAACAGAGGCCTGGAGGCCTGAGCACTGCCCTCAGCTCGCTACCAGGATGAGGACCAGCAGGAGAGGACGGGGCCCCTTGTGGCCCAACTGATGCACGGTGGAGCATGAGCTAATGGGAAGGGTACCGTGTTTCGCATGCCTTTGGCTTTTACTGACCCCTTGGAGGGGGCGTGGCAGGTATCACTACTGTACTCCCATCTGAAGGGTAATAAAAACTGCTACTTCAGAGCAGGGCTTGGTGGCGCACACCTGTAATCCCAGGACTTGGGAGGCTGAGGCAGGAGCATCACCGTGATTTGAAGGCCAGCCTGAGCTACTTAGTGAGTTGGAGACTAGCCTATAAAAGATCCTGTCTCAAAACAACAGCAACAAAAACTGCTACCCTGACTGCACTCTGCTGTGTTCTGTGCTCCGAGAATCTTCCCAAGGAGCTGGTGAGGCCCGAGGCCACTCCTCCCGTGCCCCCAGTTTTCAGAGAGAGGGCAGGGAGAGCTGGGCCTCACAGAGTAACTGACCCCTGCATCTTTGGCTGTGCGTCACCAGCCTTCTCACTGTGACTTGGCATGTCCCTGGAAGTGACAGTACCACCCCCCACTTAACTCACATTCTGGGGCCTGGGGTGCGAACTTACTCTTTGGGGAATGGAATGGGTTGAAGCAGGCTGGCCAGAGATGGTCTCCAGTCATCGTAGTCCGACCTAGGGTGAGAAGGACAGTGACGGTGAGGCGTGGCCAGCAGACAGGACCCACGCTGCCCCCTCACTTCAGTCTGGGTCTTATGTCCCGAATGCGGCTCGAGGGTCCCCAGACAAACCACCCCGGCTAAGGTATGGCGGCTGGGGTCAGCTAGGTCTCACCCTCCGGGATCACACCTTCCTTGCCCTTGAACGGGGCTCCACCATCACTGTTCATTCCCTCTTTGGACCCTCTGGGGATGTCAGGGGTGAACTGTGTGCCCCCCAAATCTATATGCTGCCCCTGGAATCTCCAAATGTGAGTGTATTTGACAGGACTCCGAGGAAGCCAAATGACAGCACTATGGTGGGTCCTGGCCTGACCAGTCTGACCAACGTCCTCATAAAAAGGAGGAATTTAAACCGGATGTGGTAGTGAACACCTATAATCCCAGCACTCAGGAGGCTGAGGCAGGAGGATCGCCTCCAACTGGAGGCCAGCTGGGGCTACATAGTGAGTTCAAAAGCTAGGATTATAGGCGTGAGCCACCACGCCGGCACTGTAGACTGACTCGCGGGAGGTGAAAGCCACATGCTGCTATTTGAAGTTTGGATCAAGGCTCCTGATTTATTGGCTACTGTTACTCCTGCTTCTCTCCTTCTACACCCCATGCGAACAGCAGTCTCAGCAGTAACAGTAATGAAAACTCCAAACTAACAGAAGCTCGGATTTCATCAGCACTTCCTACAGGCGTGGCATTACACAAGAGCTCCAGGCCCCAACTGCTTTGCCCTGCACAAAGAGCACAATGACGTAAACAGCACCAGCCCTACGCGGGCGGTAAGGAAGCGCGAGGCTCAGAGAGGTGAAGCGACTGTTCAAGCTCACGCAGCTCCGGCTGAGGAGACGCAGAGCAGTCCAGGCTTTCTCTGGCTCAGATCCTTCACGCCCACCTGGCTTCAAAGACTGCAGCACAACGCCAGACAGCAGCTTGGGCAGGGAAATGGGGCTCAGACAATGGGCTCATGACAGATGAAGAGGCTTCTGCACAGCAAAGGAAACTAAACCAGCTGGGTGACGAGACAACCTACAGAACGGCTGCCAGCTACTACTCAGAGAGGACTAATACCAGAGCATAAAACAGAACTAAAAAAAAAATTAGACTCCCCCCAAAGCAAAGACCCAATCAAAAAGTGGGCACACCTCTCAGAGGAAGAAGTGTCAACGGCCAACAGTCACACGAAACAACGTTCACCACTGCTGGCCCTCAAAGAAATGCAGATGAAAGCAACACAGCTCCATCTTACCCCAGGAAGGATGGCCATCCGCAAGAAATCAAATAGTAACAGGTGCTGGCGAGGCTGAAGGGGAAACGGAACCCTTCCGCGCTGCCCATGGGAGGGAGTGCCGGCTAGTACAACCACTTGGGAAGACAATGTGGAGATTCCTCAGAAAACTAGAAGTGGAAATTCCACTTGACCCAGCTGTTCCTCTTCCGGGTATCTTGCTCCGAAAGTTATAGACACAATACAGTGATGCAGGCATGCTCATGCTTGAAGTGGCACAACCCCTAATAGCTCAATCTTGGAAGCGGCCTATGTATCCATCATCAGATGGATGGATAAAGAAAATGCGGTATTTACACACGACGGAGCACGACTCCGCCACAAAGGAAGATAAAACTGGGTTATTTGTAGGAACAGGGATGCACCTTGAGACCACAGTGCTTAGCGAAATAAGTCAGACACACAAGTTGAAATATCACATTGTTTCTACGAGGAGCCCAAAATAAAAATAAAGAGCAAAATAAAAGAGATACACTTTTTGCAAACGGGAAAGGGACCAAGAGATGGAGGGAAGGGAGAAGGGGCATAAAAAAGGATTTTGATGTGTACATGCGCCAGCGCTACACAAGGACTGCAGTCGTTACGCACTGCAGACACGGACTGATAAACAGTAACAACTGGAAAGGGACTGAACTGATCTGGAGCAGAGCAGAGGGCTGAGGCAGACCCGCTTTGCTCTACTTCACTTGACCCGCCTGGAGGGCCTCCTGCCCAGGATGTCCACACAGCCAGCAGAGGCGAGTTTCTCTCTCTCGGTCAACACAGCCAGGAGCCGGGCAGAGGCCAGGCACCAGGACCAGGTGGTCACCAGAGCCACACCACAGTGCTGGGTTAAGCTGGGCACACGTGTCGCACTCAGCCCAACGCTGGGAAGACCCTGTCGACAGCAGACCTTATCTGACGGGTACAGCACAAGTCACTGAGCACCCGTGTGTGGGGACCTGTGCCAAGCGCCAGGCCTGCGTCACCCCGTGGAAGCTCCGAGACCCCACAGAAACCCCTAGTGCAGACCAGGGGTATTGGGCAGCTGGCCAGCTGATGGCACTGTGCAGCCAGCATTCAGATGACCCCGTGTCGGAAGAGGACCGCGGACGCATGGGATGCCTTGTGACTCGCAGGACACAGTGGGACCCGGGTTCGCCTGCAGCAGAACCGATGCTGAGGAGTCTCGCCCCGGGACAGCAGATGCCAACAGGAGACAAGCTGAAGGGGGAGCGGGGGAGGGCGGCCAGGCTGCGGCCCTGGGCTGGGGCAGGAGGCTGGCATGAGGGTCTCAGCCCAGGGACCTGATTCTTGGCCCTACTATCCCAGGATGGAGACAGGCAGACCCTGTTGCCTGGGGTTTTGGGTGCACATCCGCATCTGCTGAACCCTCATCTCCTTCCTGGGGTCACCCCTTTTGCAGCCGGCTGGCCTCCCCTGGGGAACCTCGCCCTCCTGCTGAAGTCCCCCTGCCGTATGGCTTCCAGAAACCTAAGTGTGACCACAACACGCTCCCACCACCCCACTTCACAGGCCGAGAGGCAGGGAGGGTTGGCCCCGGGCCGCGTCTGCTTTACCCGCCAAATGCCCCAGGACTCACCCAGGGACAGCCGGTTCACAGCTGCGGAGGAGGGCTGTTTCCCTGGGTCACAAGGGGCACGTACTACTTTTTCTGTTTTTAACTTAAAAAAATAAAGTTTGATGCATGTAGAATGTCGTTAAGTACAGGACTCTGAGGGGACTTTACATCACCCATAATCAGAGTGGGACTCGTAGGAGGCGGAGTGGGGACTCCTGGGGCCCCTTCGAAGTGGGATGCAGCAGCCTCCAGGGGGGCCTGCAGCTGGCGTTTGGGAGCCTCGTGGGTGGGGCTCTTGCTGGCAGCCCCAGCACAGGCCCTGGTGGCCGGCGAGTCCTGGCCATGGGTGTGCAGAGGGCAGGGCGGCCTGGCTGTTGTAGGAGGCCTTTGGCAATACTGCTGTCCCCTCTGGCCAAGCCTGGCCCAGCCTGGAAGGGAGGGCAGCAGGCAGGGCTGGGAGGCCTCACTGCCCACTGGGAGGAAGAGAGAGCAGGCTCTCTGGGCCTGGGGCACGAGGAGGGAGGGAGGAGGGCCTGAGCGTGATGTGGGGCTCCGGCAGGAGTTGGGTAACCTGCACTCAAACTTCATCTCCCATTCACGGGGCCAGGCTGGCTTTACTTATTTTATTTTATTTTATTTTATTTTGAGACAGGGTCTCCCTATGGAGTTCAGACTGGCCTTGAGCTCACTTTGTAGCTGAGGCTGGTCTCGAACTTGCAGCAATCTTCCTGCCCCAGCCTCCCGAGTGCTGGGATTACAGGCATGCGCTATCACGCCCAGCAAAAAATCTACTGTGTTTTGTCGGTTTTTTCCTTTATTTTTTTGGTACTGGGAATTGAACTTAGGACCTTGCGCTTGCCAGGCAGGCACTTGTGCTGCTGAGCTATATCCCCAGCCCCAGGCTGGCTTTAGAGCCGTGTCTTGCACACGAGAGACGGAGGTGCAGAGAGGCCAAGACACCTGCTGAAGGCCACAGAGTGGATGAGAGGACCTGATCGGGCTTTTCAGGCGCCGAGCCACAGTCTCCCCCTGCCGCCCGCCCAGCTGGAGTCTAACCCGAGCTGTCCAGGGACAAGAGGCTGCCTGCCAGCCGCACCCCTCCTCCCCAGTCATCGGCAATCCCGCAGGCACCAGGAGGGTGAAGCCCTGCCTCCCCGTCACCCTCAACCTGCTTTACTTGCTGCCAGTACCATCGGGGCCCACTGGCCCTACGTGCACCGGAGAGCCTGCGCTTCTACTGTGGCTTTGTGGCCTGGGAATGAGCATTTTAAAATTTCTGAAGACCCACCCATCTGCCCATCTTGTCAGTCCACCCATCCACCGCCAATCCAGACACACGCAGGGTGACAAGAGCCCGCCTGCGCCTCGGGCTGCTGGGTGCCAGGCAGTGACCAGCGCTTTACTTCATTCTCAAAGCAGCCCAGACAACTAGAACTCGAGGACGCGGGGCTCTTCCCCTAGTGCACAGCTGGGGAAACTGCGGCTCTGAGAAGCAGACTTGTTGGAATTCACAGGAAGAGCAGAGCAGCGGGGATGGAGCCGTACCGAGCTGGGTGCCTTCCGGGCCAGGTGTTCAAGCCGCTGGAGCGGGTGCCTGTGCCTTGGGGTCTTGCCCAGCAGGCTGTGGGTGCGGGGTCCCTCAATCCACCAGACCCCACAGCAATCGAAGGTCAAGGCCACTGTCCTGGACCCAGGATCTCACCCAAACTCCTGCTCCCCCTCAGTCTTGTGGGATTCAGTTTCCACGCTCCTGAGCCCCCCTTTCCTGTGCTGGGGGAGCGTGGCACTTGGGGAAGGAACACGTGGCGCTCCCCTCCCAGCCCCCACACTCCAACTTCTACTCAGCCTCCCGTTCCTAGGACACCTGCAAATCGCTGCATTTCCAGGAGGACCCAAGGGGCGGGGCCTTCATCCAGCCGAGCTGCAGCCCATCAAGGGCTCTGTGGGCAAAGCAGTGGCCGACCAGGAAGAACAGGACACAGTAGCCCCGCAGCTTGTCTGTCCCGGGCTGAGGCCCCGTGCGCACTGCAGCCCACCCCACCCGTGGGGCACTTGCAGCCCCGCTCTGGGCACGTGGCCCCCAGGGTCTGCAGGCCGAGGGCAGGGAGCGGGCAGCACGGAGCCCGGCCTGCTAAAAGTGTGCAGCACACTGCAGTGAGCGTGAATAAACAGCTGGCCAAGTGCACGTGTGAGCTGCACTCGGGGGCCCTGCGTGAGCGCTGGCTCTGCCCTGCTGCGCTCGCCCTGCCTGGCCCCCAGCCACATCCCTTCCTCTGCCCCAGCCTGGCCCACACTGGCTGTTTCAGTTGACCTGGACTTTCCATCCTTCCCCTTTTCAAGGGTCTTCAGAGGATTTTCAGTTTCTCAGGTAACTTTCATTTGTGTTTTTTTTATAATTTTTTTTTTCTGGGTACCGGGAATCGAACTCATGACCTCAGGCTTGCCAGGTAAGTGCTTATGCTGCTGTGCTATCTCCCCAGCCCCCATTTGTGTTTTTTTTTTTTTGAGACACAATCACGCTACGTAGTTCCAACTGGCCTTGAAGTTACTACATAGCCCAGGCTGGTCTCTAGCTTGAGGCGATCTTCCTGCCTCAGCCTCCCAAGTGCTAGGATTAGAGGTGTGTGCCACCACTCCCAGCTATTTGGGGAACTTGCAAAGGTGCTGATTTCTAATGATGCCAGGGCCTTCCTGGGGGACAACACGGAGCAATTACTCGGGACTGTGCCTTTCAGACACTGTCCCCCAGCTCTTGGCAGATGGGGGGTGGCTACACTGTCCTGCACGCCTGGAAACAGCACTGCCCTCCCCTACGGACAGACACGGCCCCCACATGCCTTTAGCCAATGCCTCAATTCCACATTAAATCATCTTTCCCTTCACAAGCACATGCGCACATGGGCACACTGCAACACTGACAAGAAGCCAGCGCTGGGAATCTGCAACAGTCCTGGCACCCATTTCACAGACCACAAAACCGAGGCCACGAGCAAGAATGCCACCTACAGCTCCACAGTGGGTAAGTCACATGGCCATTGCTCCTCAGGGCTCAGTACAAGCGTCTGTGAGCACACTGAAAGGCTGGTCTCCGTGCCCAAATGTGTTGGTAACTTCATGGGGTACCTCACCTCAACACTGCCATCTTCGACAGCAGACACTGCTGGGATGGTAGATCCCAGCGCATTGCATCACCCATGCGCCCACCCTGTGCCGGGAGCAAGCCACCCCTCTGGCCTTCCCACCCACATGCTGAGACGGGTGCCAGCATGCCACCTGTCCTTCTGGGAGCCGCGGTGGGGGGACACATGGTCCACCATGTCACAAGCTAGGAGGGAGCACACGGGGTCTGAGCCCAGTCTGGCTGGAGCTGAATTGCCGTTCCCAGCACACCCAGCACCCGGGCCCTCTGCGCTGTGGGGCAGGGTGTTTGCGTCCAGCTTGTCTGAGGCCCCCCATGAGCCAGAGACCACGCGGCCACCTGGGTTCAAAACAGCAAGTTCAGAACCTGAACTGTTCAGAGTTCAGAAAATAAACTCATAAGGCCCGGAGCTCCCGGAGGTAAAGAGGCTTCTGGAAGTTTAAGGCCCAAAATGAAGAGCTCGGCCCCACCCCACCAGGAACCGCTCTGCGAGCTCTGGGGCCCAGGCCCAGACCCCCACCCACGCCTTGGCAGCTGGGCCCGGCGGCAGGCAGGAGGGCTGGAGACCCAGCAGGAAGAACAGAGCCCTCGTTCACGAGCATGTTTACGAGGAAGGGAAAAATGTGCGTTGACTGCATGATGAAACTCAAACCCCGAGCGCTCGAGGAAAATTACAAGGGGGGTCCGGGCACCGGAGGCCTGGGTGTTCCCAGTGTTGACAGGTGAGGTGCAGGGCATGGCGCTGCCAGCTTCACCCTGGGCAAGGAGCCTCTCTGGGAACCCGGGCAGCTCAGCGGGCCCTTGCTTCAGGGCCGTGTGGCCAAGTGGGAGGGGCTGACTCTCCCCGCCTCGAGGAAGTCAGGGCAGAGACAAGTTCCGCGCTGCCCTGGGCTGTGCTGCCAGCGTCTGTGGCTGTGTCCTCACCTGGCCTCTGCTGCTGGGACCCTGGAGGTTGGCACAGACCCCACCTTTCCTGTCCGGGGCCAATGTGAGGGCAAAGGAGGCTCTTGGGGATGGCACTTCCACATTCTCTAGCAAGCCACAGGAAGCCGCTGTGTGGCCGACTGCACACTCGTGCCTGCACACGCGTGCACATGGGCATCCACCTCCACAGACCCCACACCCTCGCCTGCACACACGGGGCCACCTTGGGCCCCTCCCTGCCCACCTGCTGACCAGGCTGCAGGAACCTGGCGGACCACGATAGAGAATGAGGAGACGTGCGGCCTCAGGGAACCCCTGCTCACGCTGACCACACACCGGTGCCAGGCCGGGCAGCCCCTGCACCCGGGCAAGGGTCCCTGGCTTTAGACAGGCATCGCGGGTCAGATATGCATGACTCAGCCCATCAGGACAAGCCTGGCAGCCACATTGCTGCCCTGGGGGTACGGGTCAGGGGCTGGGACCCCTGAACACGGAGTAGGGCTCTATTCGGAAAGTAGGAGCCGCGAGCCAGGAGGAAGGGGGCACCGCTGAGGGTCTCCAGACCCACGCTTGCCCACGGGACCACAGAGCCCAGAGAAGGCCCGGCAGTGTGGCTGACAAGGCCACCGGAGCTGGACTCTGGGAACCAGGCGTGGGGGCGTGAGACGTGTTGAAGGCAGCTCGGAAAGTGCCTTGGGGGGCGAGGATGAAGCCTCCCACTCAAGTCAGAGAGCTGAGGTCTGGGGAGCGGTGGAGATGGGTCCCCAGCTCCCAGCTTGGAAATGGCACCACCCAGAGCAGAGGGGACCTCATCGCTCAGCACACCTGTGTGGAGCCTCCCGGGCCCAAGGCACCCGGGGCAGCTGCCTGCCGCAGAGATCACCCCATACAGGAGGCTCCTATGCGCACACAACTCGAGTGTGCACGGTGACCACGCAGGCACCCTGCGCAGGGGAGCAGGTGAACACGGCCACACCCATCCGCAGCAGGACTCCACCCCCACCTGGGCAGGGACCTGCCATCCACGCAGACACCAGCATGTGTGCACCGTGTCACACACCACGCACACAGAGCACACGGCTCAGACAAGATGAGCAGTCCTACACTGGTTCTCACACACACACACACACTCAACTCTTGTGTGCAAATGATCGTGCAAACACGCACCTGTCCTGCACAAACCAGTCCAAATACCTAGACACATGCACGCTTGTGCACTTACACACACAGTAGTCAAAACAGACAAATCGTCCACTACAGAAAAACCCACACACACGCCCACGCCCACCATGGCCACATAGAGACACACAGTCATGTACAAGCTCAAAACAAACCCACACATACACTAGAATGTGCAGAACTCCCAGGAGGCTGACATCCCAGCAGATGTATGCACACACTCACTCATACACGTGTGTGTAAACGTGCACCCTGCACAGGCCCCCAGGTGCACATTATACTCACAGCCAGGCACGCAACCCACACATCTGTATGCACACTCACGCACAGGACATATGTTCCTAGTGGCACACGTACAGCCACTGTGCACCCCCATGTGTCTTCACATCTGTGCAAGAACTCACGCCCCAGATATGCACGCTGCTCAGCCACACCCAACCCTGCCCACCTTGCACGAGTCAATCAACAAACAGGGCTGCTGTGAGTGGTGAGCAAGTATCCCCCGTCCCCAGCCCCTGCCGGGGACACGCAGGGCACTCACAGCAGCTTCAGGATCTCCACGTAGCAGCCGAGCGTGCGGTCGGCCTGGGGGCCCAGCTCGATGCTCATGGTGCTGCACGCGGGGCTGACCATGAGGCAGTCGATGAGGTTGGGCTCGCTGTCGTTGCCCGTGCTGGCCGTCAGCGCCGGCTTGGCAGTGCTGGTGCGCTCCACCTCCACGTGGATCTCGCTGGAGGCCACGACCACCGACTTGAGCCGCGCCTCGGACAGCGTGGCTTCCTGAGACACCAGGTCCGGGCTGGGGTGCAGAAGGCGCAGAGGTAAGGTGGGCTTCCGGTCGCACGGCTGCTGGCAGCCGTTCCGGATCTCCTTCAGGCTCGGGGAGTTGTCACGGCTGGGGAGAGAGGACACAGGGCGCGTGAGAACGGCACGCTGCACTCGGAGGCTTGGCTTCGGCCATCAGAACGGCCCTGAACCACAGCCGTGGCTTCGTGCTGGCTCACCGTGCAGGGGGACCGGGGTGCCGAACGCTCCCCAGCCCCCACGACGACGGAGCCACGAGGTGTCACAGCTGTGATCCCCGCTCTGGGAAGGAAGCAAGGGAGGCTCAGCCAAGCGAGTGCCCACTCAACATCCTGCAGGAGGAGGTGCGGACGGCACCCAGGCCCAGGGCCCTGCAGCACGGAGCAGCGGCTCAGGACACATCTGCAGGACGGGAGAGGGCAGGTTCTGCCCAGCACCTCCCCGGCCTCCTCCTGATGTCCCTGCGCCCCCACCTGCGCCCCCACCTGTACCTCTGCTTGCGCCCTGCAGTCTGGCTGTCCCCTCACTTCCACACCAGTGTCCCCCAGGGCCAGGCTCTGCTGTCCATCCAGCCAGGTGACACACATCCACCCTCGCCTGGGGCCCCACCCAAAGCTCCCAAACAGAGATGCTGGTCTGGGCCCTGGAGCCTGCACAGCCCTCCTTCGCTCCTCCCCGCCAGAGCATCTCAGCCCAACAGTATCCCCACGGTGCTTGCCCGGGTGTCACTAGGTGTCAACTGAGGAAGGAGCTCTGGGACATCGCTAATGTCACATCTGTTTGGACAGTCGTGACATGGAGCCTCTTTCCTGCAGGACTTGTCCGAGACTTGCCCTGGTCCCAGCTCCTGATCTCTTTGAATGGGCTCAGGGGAGCCCCATCCTATTCGGCAGGGAGAGACAGCAGTGTTTCCACAGATACCCTCGAGCTACCACCTTGGGCAGATGCCCCAGTCCTGTTTCTCATTCATGAGTCTGGGGAGCAGGGATCTGAAACCAGAGCTCTCTGACTGCAAAGCCCAGGCTGCTCCCCACGAGGGTGTCTTCCAAGATCCCTGAGAACCCTGTGCAGGTCCCTTCCTCTAGGAAGTCTGCCTTGATTTCTTCTTCCAACCACTGGCATCTTCCCTGCCCGTGAACTAACGCATGGCTCTCCACCCCTGAGTGGACTTGACTCCCATCCAGGGCCACATCTAAAAACTCCAAGTCCACCGAGCTGGGACCCTCTGGGGTGCGGCCTGGATACCAGTAATTGCCTAGGTTCCCACGTGTGTGGTCAGGTTGAGATCCACTCCCTACCCCTCCTGACACTGGGCGTAATTAGGAACAGCTGCCGGTCCACAACCGTCCCACATGCGCCACACATGCGAGCCCTGGGCCCCACACTGGCCTGGGCCTTGTGTACAGCAGCTCCGGGTCTGTGTGCAGAACTCGGACCCGATGCACAGCAGGGTCTGAATTTATCTTGTCCCTGCCATGAGCCAGGGCCAAGCAGAGCCCACCAAGGGTGTTTAATAAATATGCTTTAAAAATTTGCCAGGGGGGGAAAAAAAACAACCCACTGGCCAGCGTCCAGGCATTTTATGGTTGATGGAAAACTGCGTGTGGTCCATAGGGGGTGGGGCGACCTAAATCTCTCCTTTGCTTGGGACTTAATTTGCTCCCAAATGCTCCACACTCCATTCCCGCTGTTTGCCTTTGCTGGGATTTAGGAGTGGATTTTCAAGGCTGTTTGGCTCTGATCGGTGATTTTCCAGAGAGCCACGCTAACCTGGGTCAAGCTGTCTGTGCTTGTGCTTGTGAGTACATCGTGTGCCCACCGGAGCTCTGCGGACGGCCCGGAGGACAGCGCGGCTCTATGTCGGAGGAACTGACCAATAGGCGGGGGGCAGCTGAGTCCAGGAAACATCCTGGCAGCATCGGCTTCCTGGCGCGATGGCCTGGAGGGACTGGGAGCATCAGCTGGGACCCAGGTGTGGGCCCCGAGCGGCTCGGCTGTACCAGGCTGCAGGAAGGCGGCAGGGCCTGTGTATTCCGCCCCCATGGTCACGCTCACCGCCAGCCCATCCTCCACCCAGTGGCACTCGGAGTCAGGAACTGAAGTTGCAGCTGGTCCCTCCCCTACTCCAAATCCACTGCGAGCCCGTAATGTTCTCGGAACAGAAATTCCACACTGAAGCAGCCCAGCCTGAACTCAAGGTACTCACTCCAGCTACACTTTCACTTCTTTTCTCTCTCCTCAAGGCGCACCAACTCCTGCTGTGCCTCCACCTTCAGCACGTAGCACAATCAGCTGCGCACTTTAGGGATGCAGATTCCCAAGCCCATGTCCTAGGGACCTGCACTTGAAAGCAGCAGTCCAGGTGATTCTGAGGGAGGTGTTCAAGCCCTCAGTTGGAAAAACCCTGTGAGCACTGTTAACTCCATTCCTTCTTTGCAGGCACTATTCCCTCTGCCTGGACCGCAGCAGGAGATGTCAGTTTAAATGTTACCGCCTCCCTGAAGGACCCCTCTGTGATGGTTAATTTTGAGTGTTGACTTGACTGGATTGGGAAACGCCTAGAAAATCAGTAAAGCACACTTCTGGGTGTGTCTGTGAGGTGTTTCCAGAGATGACTGGCGTGTGGGACAGCAAACTGGGCGAGGAGCTGCCCTGGATGTTGGCAGCACCACCCAATAGGTTGGGGTCTGAAGGACATAACAGGAAGGAGGAGCCGTGTCCCCCAGCGCATCATCCCCCCTTGCTGTCTGAAGCTCTGCTCCACCACCTGGTTCCCACCACGACATCCTGTCTCATTACAGGACCAGACGCAAAGTAGCCAAAGGACCGGGGACTGACCGTCTGAAACTGCAAGCCAGAAAAACATTTCCTCCTTTAAACTGCTGATGTCAGGTATTTTATCACAGCTGAGAAGCTGGAGAACACACCTTCCTCACCTCCCACTAGAGCAGTCCTCAACTCTGGCCATGGGGGTACAAACAAACAAAGAAACAAATAATCAAAAAAAAAAAAAAATGCCAGGGCTGTCCAATTACATCAGCGTGGCAGTGGGTGGGGCCCAGGCATCCTTCCCCTCCTTTCTAGAGCCACTACTCCCACTTCGAAGGCAGACGCCAGGGCACACGCTGAGTTCTGCACTCCCACCTGTGAGGCTGCAGGGCAAGCCTAGAGACCAGCCCTGGTACCCACAAACACACAACACACACACACACACACACACACACACACACACCCACACACCCACATGTGTGCACACCCCACACATGCGTCTGCACGCCTGCCCTACAAACACACTCTCAGCTTGCTGCCCGGGAACACACAGCCCACCATCTCATGCTCACACACATTCAGCTACAGCGCCAGCTCCCAAAGCCCAGGCACCATGCAGCCAGTGCTGCTGACTTGGTGCCTGCTTTGTCCTCAGCGTCCCCGGCAGGGCCTGGGCAGCAGCTACTCCACCTCCCCGGCCTGGCCACTCTTGCCAACACGTGCCCACCCATGCCCTCCCAGCAGTGGCGGCAACTGACCTGTTGATGAACTCTTCGTAGCAGGAGTAGATGGCAGCCAGGCACACGGCCACCAGGTTGGGCAGGACCCGAGGGTGGGGGCAGTGCCCCGTGGGGCCGTGCATGCTGGAAGAGAGCAGAGGGCGGGTGAGAGGCCGCACGTGAGGGTTCCCACCGTGCTACCCAGGCCACCCCCTCTGCCAGCACAGCTCAGGGGGCCTCGAGAGCCTCTGCTATGTGCCCGGTGACAGCAGGCCGTGGCTCCTGGCTGCCCCAGTGCAGGTGGCGGAGGGCCCAGCTGCAGGCCGTGGACTCCAGATCCAAGGCACCTGCTTGGGACCCAGCTGAGCAGCCCAGCAAGCTCCTGAGATGCCACCCCAGCGTCCCAGGCCACAGCACGAGGAATTAGTGCCCTCTTCAATGGTGACAATGAGGAAGTGCTCCAGTCCCTGGAAAACCTCAGCACACATTGGCCGGCTGCCCCGGGGGGTTCTGGAGTAATCATCCACGACAGTTTATTATGGTCATCTTAGCACGGGGTCAGGGGTAGTCAGGGAGTCTTCACTGCACCAGCTATGTTCACCTGCCAGGGCCGGCTCTCTGCTGCAGTTTCCCATCTGTGGAACAGGCTGTTCCAGGCCTGGGGATGACACCCAAAACCTTTCTGGGAAATGTTCACTGCCGCTGCTGTCATTAAGACAGTCTATCCTGATAAAAGGCCACAAACCAAGCCCGGGGATCCTGAGGTCACCAGGGCTATGGAAATGCATCCCATCTGGGAAGTGGGTGTCTTTTCAGGAATCCACAGAACTGGTCTGACCAGGTGACTTAGGTTTTTCTTTAAAAAAAAGGAAGCATTGAACAACAAGGACAGCGAACCTGTATACCACCCCTGCACGTGCTTAGCACCTCACTGGTTCCCAAACTAACTGGGGGAAGTGGGGACCAGGAATCTCATTTTATAGACAGGGAAACGGAGGCACAGACCAAAAACTGAAAGGTTAAAAAAAGCAGAGCAAACAAGTGCCAAACACTAGAGTTGAGGAAGAACGTAAGTCTTTGGCTGCTTCCCGGCCAAGCCTGGGAGGACGATGCTTCCGTCCTGGACGTCACCCCTCGGGGCCCCTGGTGTGGACCCCTTCCCCAGCACCCAGCGAGCACAGCACAGGGTTGAGGGACCGAGGAGATGCTCACGTTACTTAGGACTGCATGGGCGAGCCAGGGCTTCCTCCTGCAGCGTCCTGTCCCGCTGCAGCTCCCCCGCCCGGGTGCCAGGAAGCAGGTTCAGAGAGGCACAGTGACGGGCTCAAGGGCACGGAGCAAGCGAGCGGCTCGGCCTGGGCCCCGCATAGCGGGAGAGCCAGTGGAGTGCGCAGACGGGACACGGGGCCTCGCCGGGTGTCACACGCATGAGGCACAGGTGTATGGGGACGAGGGGCCCCGAGACCCACCTCTGAATGAACTTCTTCACCACCTCCATGCCCGCGTTGAGCTCATTCAAGGCGAGGATGTACTCCTGAGTGAACAGCCTGAGCCTCGGGCACTTCCCGAAGTCCTGCGAGAGAGGCGGGCACGGAGCTGGGGATGCCGCCGGCACACGGGCGGGTGGCCAGGGCTGTGGCTATGGGGACGCTGCACGTCTCACCCTGGAGCACAGCATGGCCCAGCTGGGCTGCCCCGGCCGTGACCCCTGGTGGTCAGGCACCACGCCACGCTCAGGCCTCTCCCCGGTACCGTCCGAGGGACCCTCAGGGCCCAGCCTGACAGCCCTGGAAGCTGGCCCTCTTCGCGTGCAGGGCCTGAGTTCTCGCCCTGCTCTCCGAGCTGCACCAGAGGCGCTCAGAGCAGCAGGCAGCAGGGACAGATGCGAGGGTCACCAAGGCGGGACTAGACTTCTGGGGTGCAGGCAGCACTGGACCAACCACTCCCCATGTCTCCAAACTGCCACACCCTTCCTTCTGAGTGACAGGTGGGAAGTGGCCCCCAAGCCAGGCGCCTCCTGTGGGAAAGGGATGTGCCTGCTTCGGCCTCCTGGGGCCATCCCCGGGCTAGGCAGTCCCAGCTGCCCCCAACTCCAGGACTAAACTACGGGAGCACCTGTGACTGTGTGCTTTAGGCTGGAGAGAAAGCCATCCTCCAAAGCTTCACGAGCTGGGTGTGGCAGTGCACGCCTGTAATCCTAGCACTCAAGAGGCTGGGGCAGGAGGATCTCAAATTTGAGGCCAGCCGGGGCTACATGATGAGTTCATGGCCAGCCTGAACCACATAGTGAGACCTCGTCTCAAAAAACGAAACAAGGGGCCGGGGATTTAGCTCAGTGGCATAAGCGCCTACCTGGCAAGTTCAATTCCCGGTACCAAAAAAAAAAAAAAAACCTGAAACAAAAAGGTGCACGGGACACAGAAGGCAGACAGACAAGATCAGCAAAGGTAGGAAGGGCAAAGATGGGTGCATATGGGGAGCACAGGAGGAGGTGTGGGAGACGGTGTGCGTGTGTGGGCGGGGCCAGGTGAGGGCAGTGTGTGCTCCGGACGCGGAGGGTGCCGGGTGCAGGTGGCGGGTGACAGCGCCATCTGCGGTGGGAGGGAGGAGGCGCAGCACGGAGGCGAGGACCCACCTGACCGAGGCTGCCGCGGCCGTAGTGGGAGGAGGGGCGGCTCACCGTCTGTGACGGCAGCGGCTGAGGCTTCACCCAGGGGCCCTGCCCAGGACAAAGGGACCCTCTGCTCCAGCTGAGTGGCAGACATGAGTGGAGACTGACGTCCCCCACACATCCCACCAGCAGTGAGGGGCACAGTGTGGGTGGGGGATCTGCTGGGGGACTTGTCGGGAGACACAGGGGCCCTGGGGGACAGAGCCCTTCTGTTCATCCCCTCCTAAGGTCTAACTTGGTCAGGAACTGTGGGGTGGGGCAGTCAGGAAGGGCGAGGCGGGACATGCTTGCCCCGACCTGCTGGAAAAATGACAGGGTTCACCAGCAAGACGGCAGAGGGGTGCCCGGTGTCTCCAACTCATCCTGTTCCCTCCTTTGTGAAATCCATTGACAAGGCAGTCAGAGGGCTGGGGTGCAGCTCAGTGGTGGGGCAGTTGCCCAACCCATGCCAGGCTCTGGGCTTGATTCCCAGGACAAAAAAAAAAAAAAGCAACTCAAAGCTGAGTGTGGTAGCCCACACCTGTAATCCCAGCACTCTGGGAAGCTGAGGCAGGAGGATCATAAATTCACAGCCATCCGGCACCCCCACACTGGGGTCCCTGTAGGGTAGAGGGACTCAGCTCAAGGCCAGGCCACAGCTGTCAACTCTGGTCTGCTCTGGGGCTGTCTGATTTCTGTCTGATTCATGTGGACAACACTCCAGGCTGCGAAAGTCACTGAACCCGAGGGAAAAGCGCAGCTGGGACCTGGGAGCCACTGATATGCTGCCTGTTTCCCTTTGATGTCCGATGTTCCCCAAGAACCCTCAGGAGACAGTTCCTGGCCACACGGAATACGCAGGAGGGGATCACCCGTGCAGGTGCCAATGTGGCTCCACGCGCCCTGGGCTTCCGGCTCTGTCTCTGGTGAATTAAAGCCCTGCTTTGGAAGAGGAACCTTGGAACCTTTGCTCTGTACTTTGAAAGGGCCTGACCTCGACGCCCACCACACCCTCAGGGCACCTCAAAGTCTTTAGGCAGAGGCCCTTTCCTCCCTTGTACAGGCACGGAAGTTATGGCAGGACCCCTCCCACCTCCAGGGGAGGTTTCCTGCTATCTTGGAAAAAGAACCACACAGGACATCCCTGTCTTGCATTCAGAAAACAAACAAATTTATCCCAGATCCAAGAGGATCTTGAAAATAAGCAATAATTCCACTTCAGCTTGGGATTGCTCAGGGTAGAGAATGGTCAAAAGGACTCATTCCAGGACCAGCAGGATTCACTGAGTAGTGGCTGCCTGGAACGCTGCACAGGGCGGAGAAGCTATCTCCAAATCTGCAGGAAGAGTGCAGCCATCCATTAGTGATGTCTGCCACGGATGCAGGCGGGAAGTGCCACAAGCTCAGAGCAGAGAGGGTGGATGGGCCTGACCTCAGGCGTCTGCTTCTAGCTGCTCTTCAGACCCTAGTTCTCTGCCAGCCTTTCTGGGCCCCAGACCTTTCCAAGGTGCAGGATATCACACTCTCACTGTGCTCTGCACTCTGCCTGGAGGCTGCCTGTTCTTATTCCTAGCTGGGCCCTGAGACTAGGCAGCAGACCTTACTAATTAAACCTCAGTGTCCCCACATGTAGTATGGAGAAGATAATATTTGCCACTATCGCTGGAATAATAGGATGAACCCTAAGGGCCACACAGGTGACAATGCAAGCGAACTGCACATTTGTATTTATCAAAGTGAACTAACGCCATCCTTATTGAGACTTCTGTTGTATCCCTGCGTGTCCCTTCCCTGCTTGCGGACAGCATCGTGCTCCTACGCCGTGAGCTCTGGTTGTCCTGTCCCCCACTTGGGTTGTGTCTGTTTCTCAGACTTTCCTTGCTTACAATGGCTGGGGCGGTTCTGGAGGTGTTTTGTAGACCATCTCTCAACTGGGGTCCAGGTGACAGTTAGCTCACCATGAGCCTGGGGCCCTGGGCATGGAAGGGAGACCCCGCAGGGGCAGTGCCACTTTCACAATTCATATCGAGGTCTGCTCTGTGTTTTTTCTTTTTTCTTTTTTTTTGTTTTTTTTTTCCAGTACTGGGAATAGAACTCACGACCTTGCACTTGCCAGGCAGGCGCTGTGCCGCTCAGCTAAATCCCCAGCCCCCGAGGTCTGCTCTGTGAACATGACTCATCCCTGTGGGCATTGACCTTTACCACCCGCTGGGGTCATATCTGCCAAGTTTCCTTACCAGGAAACTTTTTTTTTTTCCTTTTGAGTTCTGGGATTGAACTCAGGGCCTTTGCCCTGAGCAACATCTTTGGCCCTTGGGGGAAAGACAATTTTTTAAGCAAATTTTGAGACAGTGTCTGATCAAATTGCTAAGTTGCCCAGGTTGGGCTCAAGCTTGCCATCCTCCTGTCTCAGCCTACCGAAGTGCTGGGTTTTCAGGAGTGCACCCTCTGCTCTTCTCCCTTCCACCGTGTGCCCTCTGGAAGAAGGCCCTGTACACAGCCCACCCCAAGGACCTAGCGGGCGGAACACACTGGGAAACACCTGTCTCCCCCTACTGGTCACAGTATTTCTGTTATTCTTACGACGGTGAGATCCTTCGCGTCACCTTAATGGAAAAAATACAGCCATGGAGACGCAGGCTGTACAAAGCCCCAGCTCCTCATCCAGAATCTGCTGGGCCCAACCCTGCTCCCAAGTCTGCAGGAAACCAAGAGGCTGGGGCAGGCACGCGCAGTGGTGTCGGGCACTCACCATGTTATGCTTGAGGATTCTCTGGACCACAGGTGTGAACACCTCGATGACCACCATGGACCGGGGCCGCTCTCTGCAGTGCTGCGGGGAGAAGGGCTCGGTCAGCGCAGGGGTCAGCATCCTGCCCGCGGCTGGCTGCTTCTCGCAGGCCGGGGACTTGAGCCCAGCAGGCAGCCTGTCTCTCTTGCGGAATATCACTGCAGAGCTTATTTTAAACCAGGCTTTGTATTTTCAGAGCAGTTTCAGGTTCACAGCAAAACTAGGAAGGTGGTGAGGTGGCCCATGTGCACTCCGTCCCCCAAGCCACACAGCTGCCCCATTCGTTACAGGGATGAGGGTGCCCTGGGGTGTCTGTCGCCCGTGGCCCACGGCTTGCCTGAGTTACCTTGGTGAGGCCTAGTCCATGGGTCTGCACAAGTGACAAGGATGCATCTCCATTGCCGGGTAGCACACAAAGTAGGTTCTCTGCCCTGAAGCCCCCTGTGCTCTGCCTTCAGCCTCCCCTCCCCCACCCGGCGCCACCAATGCCTGTGCTGGCTCTACGATCCCGCCTCTGCCAGAATGTGACAGCCAAGTCACTCCTCCAGCTGAAACTCAAGGGACCTGAGTGGCTTGTACTTTTGGCCTTTGGAATGTTTGCACACACACAAGGAGGTATGTACAGGGAGGAGACTTCAGTCTAAACCTGAGATCCAAATACTTTTTTACACATAGCCTGTAGGTAGTTTCACGTAGTATTTTAATGGGCCTATGTTTCTTAGAAGTAAGTTTTCTGTTGTACTGGCTTTGTGGTACTGGGGTTGAACTATGGGTCTCTGTACTGAGCTACATCCTTGGCCCTTTTATTCTTTATTTTGAAACAGGAGCCTCTTAAGTCACTAAGTTTCCTGGGCTGGGCCCCATCCTGTGATCCTCCTGCCTCAGCCTCCTAGAGTGCTAGAATTAGAGGTGCGCACCACCACGCCTGGCAGCGTGCCTGTGTTTGACGGTAACCTGTCAGGTGTGCAGTTTTCCACTCACGATGTCATGTGAGTACGTAAAATTTTGGATTTGGGAACATTTCAGATTTGGGGTTAGCAGTGCTAAGCCCATAGCTGGAACTTCATAGCATGCAGCTGTTTTGGTTTGGTTTCTCTCACTTGGTCATGCACTTAAGGTTCCTCCCAATCTTTCTGTGGCCTGAGAGCTCATTTCCAGGCTGAGTAGGACGCACGTGTGGATGTACTGTGGTTTATTCATTCACTCACCTCCTGAAGGATGTCTGGGTTGCTTTCAAGTTCTGGGAATTATGACTAAAGTTGCTATAAACACCTCTACATAGATTTCTGTTTAGATGTAAGCTTTAAACTCATTTGAGTGAAACCAAGAAGCACCTTAGCTTCTTCTTGTCTTCATTTTTTGGAGTTAAAAAAAGAAAAAAAAGCAGATGTCGTAAGATCTTTTGTTTGCTTTTTGCTCTGATTTTAAAGTCTGAGACTGTTTCAGATGACACAGACAAGGAGTCCATCCTGACACGATTCTTATCTTTCCATGAGACTTGCAGAGTCAAGTTTTAGCAGGCCAGGAGTGACGGGCCTAGAAAGCCAGGTCCGAGGACACCCAGGTCTAGGACACTGGAAATCCTCCGAACTTGTCCACTGAGGATCTAACAATCAGGCAGCGATGTGCGGGCCAGTTTGGGGCTCAGCGCAACTTTCTTCACCAGCACCCTGCTGTTTAGAGTTGTTCCCACCCCGCTGGCCGGCCCTCGCCCCTGCTGCCGGCACATGCTTCCAGCCATGCAGCCCCCGGAGGTGCCGAGACTGCAAACCCTGGATGAGGCCTGGGGGCCTGGGATGGGGGAACTAGGGCTTTTCTGGGGGATCTGGATAAGTAAACTTTGCTCAGATCCTGGGTCCCAGGCTTGGGCGCCTGGCCCCAGCTGCCTGGCAGGTCTCAAGCTTGGCTCCGAGGAGGCCAGGCTGCCAGCTTGGTTTTCCTCCAGTCCCCTCCTGGGGTGCAACCCCAAGGGGAGAACAGCCCAAGGTTCACAGGCCACTGGTGGCCCCTCGAGCCCGAGGCAGAAGACACCAGGCTGGTTTCTCCCAGCTCACCCTTTCTCAAGCCACGCCCCCAGGAGCCCTAGGTCAGGCTGACTCTCAGCGGACAGCCATGGTTGAAGAACAGATGTTTGAAAATTGTAAGGTCTGAGAGAAACCACAGCTGGAGAGGACAGCGCGGGTGGGCACATCTGGATTAAACCAGACAGACCATGGGAGAGGAGACCGGAGGGAACCCTCAGCTAGGGGACTCCACCCGGGGAGGGTCTGACACTCTGAGTGGCGGGGACGCAGCTCCTCGAGTGCCCTCAGGAGCCAAGATCTGTGTGCACACGTGCACACCGCATGGGTGCCCTCCACGCAGACCAGAGGGCACACGCTGTGCACACTGCCAGGAAGAGAGAGGGTGTTTGGGCCCTGACGCGCACCTGGGCACTTGGGTGAACAGGCGTGTGTGGCTGGGGGCATCTTCTGATGGTGAGGCAGGGCTGGAGGGCACAGCACAGCGCCGTCCCCCCGCCCAAGCTCCCAGCCCTGACACTGCAACTCCACAGAGCGCAGCCTGTGACACGGAAAGGGGCGGGACCCTGCATCCTGTGCTGGGGAGCCAGGAGGGAAGGGGAAGGGGGCGGGGCAGCAAGTTAGTGAGATAGGGCCGGCCGCGGCAGACCCAGCCCATGCGTCATTCCAAGGACATCAAATCATTACATAAAATGCAAACTGCAGCCAGGCGTGGTGGCGCACGCCTGTAATCCCAGCACTCGGGAGGCTGAGGCAGGAGGATCGTTGTGAGTTCAAGACCAGCCTGGGCTACAAAGTGAGCTCAAGCCCAGCCTGAGGTGCATAGCAAGACCCTGTCTCAAAAAGACCAAAAAAAAGCAAACTGGTTTGTGTGCTGGACAGGCCCCTAGGCCGCCAAGCTGGGCCTGGGGAATGAGGGATGCCCGGTGCCTGCGTGGCTGGCACGTGCTGTGTGAATTGACTGCGGGGCTGGCACCTGGGTCCTGGGACCAGATGCCCTGCTCTGCAGCTCCTGCAGGCTGACCTGGTGTCCGCTGCCAACTTCTCCCATTGAGGGAAAGCCCCACGGCTGGGCTCCCACTGTGGGCCAGATGGTGTGGGAGAAGCTTCGGCTAAGAATAACCCAGCCCTGACGTCAAGAACCCAGGAAATCGGCTCAAACGGCCTCCCAAGATGGCCGGAAGTTATTCCAAAGGTAGGCCAGATGCTCCCCCAGACCCTGCGCTGCGACCCCACACGCTCCTCCACCCGTCTGTAGGTGTAGCCCTCAGGACAGACACCTCGCATGCCCTCCGCCTGGGTCCGGGGCCCTGAGCCAGGCAAACCCACCCTGCAGCCTGGGACACTTCTCCCGCTCTGGCCTCACCCGTACCTTGCAGAAGAATTCACAGAGATCTGGTGGTGGATGGTTGTTTTCCAGCAAGGGAGCGATTGCCTGAAAGACAAGGAAGAGACACCGGTGGTGCACAGTAGGGCCAGCGCGCGTGTCACCAGGAGAGGTGAGGCAGCAGGGCACAGCTGGTCAGTGGCAGGACAGGGCCCAGGGTGACCACTGAAGAGGGGGACATAGAGTGGGCAGATAAAGCCCATTTTCTAACCTGGGCTTCTGCTGAGAGTCTGATCAAAGATCCCCACCCATCCCAGAAGCTTAGGGGTTTCACGACCCACTGGCGGCTGTCCTTATTCCTGAAAGATCCACAGTCCCGGATGAAAAGGATGTCACAGGAGGCAAATATCTCTCCACACAGCCTTCTGCTTTATGTAAGGGGCCTGAGCGCACTGGGATCTTGGTGTCTATGGGGCCCTGGAACCTGACCCCCGCAGACACTGCGTGATGACACTCAGGCTGGCAGCAGGGTCCCCAGGGCAAACTGGTTTTGCCACTTGCTGGCAGTGTGGCCACCAGAGGTGGCTGCTTCACCTCGCGGGACCCTCACTGCTCCCGGAAGTCACGCAGGGGCCGGAAGAGGGACCCAGGGGAAGCTGTGCTCCTCGGTCCCCACTGCGATGGCCCTCTGTGGTAGCCTATCCTGTGTACTGCAGGGGACAGACAGCGTCGCCAGTCCCGACGACTGCAAGCCAGGACTCTCCAGCCGGAGTGACGGCCCAAACTGTCCCGAGACACATGTCATTTCATGCTAAGGCAGACACTCACTGCTCCTGGAACTGATTTCCTCGAAGCCTCCTCCACCTAGCAGAGCAGTACTAACGCTTCTGCTCACTGGGGACACGGGGGAAAGGAAGTGTCACCGGACATCGGTAAGAGCCACTGGGCAGATCAGGTGCTCAGAATGAGGTCATCGAGGTCAGACGTGCCATCTTCCCAGAAAGCGCCAACCACTGGGATGACACACAGAGTTGGGACAGGCCCCTGGCCGCCCCGCTCCATAAGGTGTCCACTGCCCACAGGTGACACTGAAATTATTATTATTTTTTTGAAACAGGGTCTCAATATGTAGTTCAGGCTGGCCATGAACTCACTGTGTAGCCCAGGCTGGCCTCAAACTCACAGCGATCCTCCTGCCTCAGCCTCCTGAGTGTTAGGATTATAGGCAGGCACCACCATGCCCGGTGACACTTCGAAATTATAACTGACATGAAATCACTGATTTGGGACGAAAGGAAACCTACTCCCCTAGTCACACCAACCCTAGTCCCACAAAGCCACTGGGACCAGCACTACAGATAGTGATGAGGGGGTACAGGGGCTCAGTGTCCCTGCACCATGCCAGGTGGTGGGTGTCAGCACTGCCCCTTTCTCAGAGGGGAAACTGAGGCCAGCAAGACGAAGACTGGGGGCCAAGGGCCCTGTCAGAAAGAAGCAGAGCAGGACCTGAACCGGGTCTGGGACCCCAGGGCCTGTGTCCTCCTGTGTGCTGTCCACACAACTGGGGAACAAAGGACCCTCCTGGGGACGACTGTGTTTGAGCAGACACTGGCAGTGAAGGATGAACCCGGAACGCGAGGGCTCAGGTGGCCCTGTCCTTGTCACAGCCACCGCCCAGGAGGACCAGTGCAGATACCAAGACTGAACTCTGCAAGCAGCCACGGAAGGAGCCGGGCAGGGTGCAGGGCCCTCGAGTTGGATCCACACAGTTCCTGGCACACTAGGCCACCGCCACCGTCTCCTCCTATCCATTTATTTATTTTTGTGGCACTGGAGATTGAACCCAGGGCTTTGGCACTGAGCTATACCCCAGCCCTTTTTAGAAGTTTTTAATCTTGAGACAAGGCTTCACTAAATTGCTTAGTCTCCCGGACTGGGCTGGAATTTGTGATTCTCCTGCCTCAGCCTCCCGGAGTGGTGTGATGACAGGCATGTACTTCCACATCTGGCTGCAGGTCTTCTTTTGTAACGGCTCTGAGCGAGCCATGAGGCACAGGGCAGGGGTGAGGGACCAGCCAGGCACTGCCTCAGATGTGGGCTTGGAATTCGCAGGACCACTGTGTCACTTGATCCTCAGGGCAAACCCGGGAGGTCAAGCGCAACTGTTTCCCTTTGTGCAGACAGAGACGAGGGTCTGGGAGTCCTGCCCTGGTCACACAGTGGGGACCAGCTTTAAATGTATAGTTAACGCACAAGCCCATCTTTCTGTGGAATCTTGTACAATCCTGGCGCTCTGCTCAGCAGCATATAGGCGCCTCGGCTCACAGAACCCTCCCAGCAGCGATATCAGTAAGCCCGGAACGATGAGACTGAGGCGGCCTGGAGCTTATGCTGGCTGGAAATGACTAGAACGCCATCTGGTTAAATAAAAAAGACCTAGAGGCACTTAGAACAGGGTGCACATAGGGGACCTCTCTGTCCCCTGAGCTACTGGACACTACTGCGTCAAGCCAGAGATGCTCCCGACCTGACAATGCCAGAAGCGCTTCTTGAAGAACTGTCTGCTCTCGAATGTCACTAGCACTGAAGGTGAGGGTCCGGGATACGAGACCCGGATCGATCTTTAGCCCTGGAAGGGTCTCCCTGACACCGTCAGTAGATGAGCAGGACGCTCGAGGCCAGCCTGGGCTTCACAGGGAGACCCCGGCTTCAGAAACAACTGAAACGAACTAACGAAAGCCCCAAGTGCAGGGTAACTCACCCTGCATCTCATCGTTCGTGCTAAAAAAATCCCACAGCACAATCCGTGTGACTGTCACCACCAGAAAGCGGGGATGTCTCTGAGGAGGCCCAGGGACACACAGGGCACACTCTCGTTTTTAACCGCGCCCAGAGGCTCCTGGAACACTTACAGCGTGAAAGACACAGCTGGGGCCACAGTTCCCCACCTGGGGACGCAACCGATCAAACCAAAAACGTCTGGAGAACAGAACACGGAGCTGGGGATATAAGCCCATTGGCACAAGCGCCTGCTTGACAAGCACAAGGTCCTGAGTTCAATTCCCGGCACAAAAAAAAGATCCCCAACTTCAGAACAGAACATGGGAGACTTTTTCTCATCACTGTGCCCTAAGCGACACGGCATGACAACTATGCAGTGTCCACACTGCTGGACAGCAGGTGTGATCTAGAGACTTCAAGCGCCCAGAGGATGCATGCAGGTGCAAACACCACGGCTTTTTATACAGGAACCTGAGCATTTGCGGATCTTGTTATCCATCGGGGGTCCTGGAAGCGATTCCCCATGAATAGAGGGATGACTGGAGTTTTTATGCAAATTAGAAGCTCTCCTGTTCACCGCCCAAGATCGTAGCCAGGTGTGAAGCCAGGTGTGAAGTCAGCTCTAAACTTGAACTCAGGTCTAGCATTAAGGCCCTTTTTTTTGCAGTACTTGAACCTAGAGTTTCACACCTGCTGGGCAAGCGCTCCACCGAGCTACATCCTCAGCCCTTTTTATTTTGAGACAGTGTCTCACTAAGGTGCCAAGGCTGGTCCTGAAATTGCGATCCTCCTGCCTCGGCCTCCTGAATAGCTGGGGCTAGGGGTGTGCGCCACAGTGCCTGGCTAAGCCTACATCCCTCACCACACGCTGAGCTTAGCGGGACCACAGCTGGGCCTGTGTGGTGACACCGCGAATGTTAGCCACTGAGGGTCCCACAGCTTGGGTGCCTGGTGGAGGCCAGGGAGAAAGCAGCCCAAGTTCTGGAGGGAAACGGGCACGCAGAAATCAGCAAGCTCAGCTAGGAGAGGACTGTGGGCGCTGGGTCGGACAGGGCGAGGCAGCTGCTGCCCGGGGTGGAGGCTCCCGACGCCCCCTAACACTCTGCCAGCTGTGGTACCAATGAGGGGCACTGCGGGGGGTGCAGCGTGGGGCAAGGGGCCAGGCCACGGCTCTGGCTCTTCTGGGTTCTCAGCTCCTGCCAGTGAAGGATTCCACTCGGCCACCCTATCTGGGTCACTGCAGCCGGGATTTCTTGGGTCCGCATCTCCTTCCCAGGCCCCTGGTGAGCACACAGCCTTCACCTCCCTCCAGACCGCGGCGCCCAGAGGGGCCCTCCGGAGGAAATGTCTCCCCTTCCTTCCCGGCAGCCTGGCTGCCTCCAGGCTCCTCCTACCTCCACGCGCGGGTCCCCTGGCTGTCCGCCTCTCCCTGTGAGAGCCACTCCTGACCTCTCTCCCGTAGGCCCTCCACGGCCTGGCCTGGCCACCTCCTCCCGGAAGTCCTCAGGCAGGCCCTCCCGGGCGGAGGAGGCTGAGGGCCTCTCTTCTGAGACCTCAAGTCTGGTCTGGATTCTGAGGCGTCCTGCAGGTGCCTCATGCACAGAAACCCAGCCCGGCATGGCCCACCCTGATGAACACCCCTCCAGGGCTCAGAGCGGGTGCTGCACATGCATGGGCTCAGAAGTCTGCCGCGTGAGCTGACAGCAGCTGCAGGGGCGGGGGCGGCTGGGTGCTGGGGTCAGCAAGGGAAGGCCATGGGTATTCAGCAGCCACCCTCGAGCACCTACTATGCATCAGCACCTGGGGGGCTGCCCTGCCCTGCTGTCCGCACTCGCAGGCCTGGGGCCCACTTCCTGCTGTCCATGCGGGACCCAGTGAGGCTTGCTGGGAGAAGACCAAGGGGCAGGGGACTGGACACAGCCCTTGTCACAGGCTGCAGGTGTAGGACCTCCGGGCCTGTGTGTTCTAGGCTTCCTCCAGCACACGGAGCTCTACCTCTCCTTTCAACTCTACTTTTCTCTCCCAGACTCCCACTTTCTTATGCTTTATGCTCTAGCAGCACTGAAACTTCCAGGATACACCACATTGCTTTCTATCTCTATGCCCTGGCATATTTTGTGTCCTCTTTCTAGGATGCCTTTACTGTGTTTTTGCCATCTGGTGAACTCCTATTGATCCTTCAAAACTCAGTTCAAAAGTCACTGCCTCTGGGAAGCTCTCTGGCTCCTTTCCCAGGTGAGTCCATCCCTCTACCCTGCACTGCATGTCTCTGCTTTTCAGAGAGCACATCTGTCTTTTTATATCTCGGGCCTCTGTGAGTTCAAATGCATAGCGCAGGGCTTATACACCGTAGGTACCATTTCGCTTCTTTCTTGTCCCTAACGAGAGTCACATTTTATAGCTTAAAACTCCTGGGGAAGATAGTTCACCTCCCAGGTGCCTATACCACTGTTGTTGTATCCCAGAAAAATACCTCACTTCACATAGGAGAGGGAATCAAACCCGATTTGATTGTGGATTAAGTAGGAGATGCCCCTTGGGGGAAGGAAGGAACTGGCGAACCAACAGTTGAGCCACTTTTGCTCCAAACCCCAAGGACAGCAAGCACCCCGCAGGCCAGCTGGGGCCCAGAGCAGAGCCGTGGACGGCAAGGCAGGCTGGCTGGGGGACGGAGGACCGTGCCGGGCCAGGCCCGTGCTTCTGAGGGATCTGGGACCCAGGGCTGGGGATGGGGGGAGGGGGGACAAGGCCCCGAGGGACTTACCACGATGATGTTCTCGTGCTCCTGGGTGGTCAGGTTGGTGTTCTAAGGGGTGGATGGAGAAAGAAGGCGGAAAGCCAGTTTAGAAAAGGGGGTGTTTGCATTCCAAGGGTCCACAGAGCTGGGACCAAGCCATCACTTTTTTCTCTTTTTTAAGCGGTACTGATGATCAAGCACAGGGCCTTCATGCTGAGCTACACTCTCAGTCCTTTGAAAATTTTATAAATTTTGAGACAGCGTCTGGCTAAGTGCTTTAGGTGGGATTTGAATCTGTGATCCTCCTGCCTCAGCATTCCCAGCGTGCTGGGATTGTGGCTGTGCGCTATTTTTTTCCCTTAATTCAATAAATGGGATCACCTCCGGGCAGGGTGGGAAGCGGGGCGTCTGGGAGAACTGAGCTCCCTGTGTATGTGTCACGATCCCTGGGATTTTCGAGGGGTCTCCCCTCAGGGACCTCAGGTTCCGCCTCGGGAGAGGGACACCGGTAACTGCCGTCATCACTGCTGAGAGAGGACTTGGCTTTGTTAAGAGACACTGCTCAGGCGCCAGAAGCAGGTTCCTAACTCACAGGTGAAGAAACTGCCCTCTGTGAATCTCAGCGCAGAGCCAGGGAGTCTTTTACACAGATGTGTGAATTCTTTCAATGGCTCTTAAACCAGGTTCCTAAGGGACCCTGGCATTCCACGAGGGGGTCCAGATGTTTTTGCTAAATTCAAATTCCAGCAATTGACTTCCAAAAAAAAAGGTTGAATGGATTAAACTTGCTGAAATTTTAGGGGTCCCCCAACCCAATCTGAGATCTCTGCTAATACACTTGGTACTTTTTTACTGCCACCCTGGGAGCGTGTGACCCGGGAACAGGATGAACGCTCCATAAACAGGGCACAGTGGGAAAACCCAAGCAGCCAGCTTCCTCCTTCCTGCAAGCTGTGTGGTGTGTTCTGCTCTGTGCGGCCGCTTGGGTGGTGTGCGTGCTACTGCTAGTAAAGCGACTCCTCCTTAGAACAGCCTCGGCAGGATGATTGCCCTTGTGCCCTGGGAAGAGCTGCAGGAGCGGGTTTGAGGAGCCAGGCGCACCTACCACGCTACCACACTGACGCCAGCTAAGGCGGGAGGAAAGCTTGTAAGCCGCAGGTTTGCTTTCGTCTGGGGGAGAGGAAGGCCCTGGAGGGGGGCCAGGCTCTGAGCATCACAGTCCCTGCAGGCCCCCAGGACTAGCCGTGACCCAGGGCAGGGCTGACTGCTCCCGAGAGCCCAGGAAGATGCAGAACGTTTCCTGGATGCTAACACCTCTGTGTCCTGTGGGTGTCAGGGAACCCGGGCAGCCTGTTAAATACCACTGCTAAGTACCAGTGCCTTCAGCCAGCATGGGGGAAAGTGGCTCCGGTCTTTCCTTGTGACTGTCACACTCGCAATGCTTTGGGCATCGATGAGCCTCAGGATGACAGTTTCTCCTACAGCTCCGACGCCCGGGGAGCTACCTATGGCTGCAGCCATCCACCTGGTGCCTGGGGACGGCGGTGGGCTGGGGACTCCACCTCCATGTGTCTGTCCTGACTCCAGAGCCTTCGTTTCTAATCCCTGAGCTGTGGCACTGGACCACCTGGGGGTGGATCCCCATTTCAGGCCTTCCTGGCAACCACACACCTGCTGGGAAGGCTTTGATGACAATGGATGTCAGTACCTTGTCCCTGTCAAAGGGCAGCTGCACGCTGCGGGGGCCATTTCTCCCCGCCAGGGCCGCGTCCCGCTGCGGGCCATGGAAGGCATCCACACGGGGGCAGCCGGGGACCCTGAGCTAAGTGGCCGCTCTGCACACTCAGGAGATGCCCAGGGGGCTGGGGATGCCACTGCTTTGCGGGTGGAGGGACCGTTCCTCCTCAGAACTGTGGGCGCCCAACAGCCCTGCTTCCTCGGGACCCTGCTGGCTTTGGGTCGCTTTGGCAAGGCTTGAAGCCACTCCGAAAGGCGCCTCCAAAGCAACTTTAGGAAAGAGAACTGAGACAGGACCCAGCCCCCTCGTTCCCCCCATGGGTGTGCGTGTCACACCTGGCTGTTGCTTAGAGAATCAGAATGTCTCCCCTGACGCTGACAACATGACCCCGCTCAGAGGTCTCCGCCGGCGAGTCCTGTTGTATCAGGGCCTCTGAGCCTCTCCTCTGTGACACCCTGGGCCTGATTCACAGCTGAAATCTGGGCAGAGAGGTCCCGTGACACGCCCGATGGCACGGCAGGACCAGGCCTCCTGTCCAGGCGGATGTAACATCTATGTACCAGAGCCAGAGCTCCCGTGGGGTGGCTCCTGCTCCCTGCAGGACTGAGGGACCCGGAGTAAGCGCTGACCTCCGGGAGGTGTGGTTACTTCTCTGGACACTTCCACATCTGTCTGGCAGGGTTGCTGGGAGAATCTGGCGGGTCCCAGCATCCGCCTGTGTGACTGTCTCCAATGTATGCTCAAATAACACCCATCTAACATCGTCTGTGATGTGGAGATAGCAGGCCGCTCGCCAGGAGCACGTGAGTGGGCCAGGATCCACTGAGTGTGATCCAGCGCAGGGGGCGTGAGCTGTCTTCCTTTCTCCGGGCAGAAGCCTCGGTGGAGGCCGGGTACCTGGACTTGGGGTTTGGGACCATGACTGCAGAGCTGAGTTTTTTCTTCTGCACAAGGCTGCCTCCTGCCAGGACGCAGCCTCTGCGCCTCCCTGCCTGTGACCGTCTCCCTCTCCCTGACTCCCGCCCCACCTCCTCCCAGACCAGGGAAGGCCTGTGCCGCATGCGGGAGCCGAAGGGACGGTAGGAATGAGCGGGGAACCGGGGCAGGGAGACACTCTCCAGGGACAGGGACAGCAGCATCACCCTGACAACTGTGCCTAGTTTAAACCGGGGTCAGCAAGTCCAATAACCTCAGCGGCCAGGCAGGGAGACAAAGGAGCGCAGTCCTGGGCTGTGGAAAATTCTAGTCCTGGGCCTGGCAGAGGGAAAGGAAGCTGTGTGCTTCCTAAATGCCTTTCCTCCGGACCCTGGCCTGTCACCCATCTGCTCTCCGCTGGGCCAGGCTCTGTCCCATGCCATGGCCCATGAACACACTCAGCCCAGGGCGCCTGGCAAAGCTGGCTGCCGAAGCGGGGCACTGACGGGCAGCAGCTATAGGCTGTGGCTGGTTTCCTGATTGTTTTTAGGGAACCCGACATTCCCATTTTGCTGTGAAATCTCCTGATTCTGAAAACCCTGCAAGCCCACACGCAGGCCGCGTGCAGTGATCAGAAGGCTGACATGGGCCGCCTGTCCCAGCCACCGCAGGGAGGGACAGCAGGGACGGCGCGGGCCTTGTTGGCACGCTGCCCTCCCCGCAGGGACAAGTGTGAGTGTGATCCTGAGTGTGATCTGGGCACTTAGGGAGGGGACAGCTCCCCCTTCACCTTTGCACCATCCCTGGCCTGCTGGCTGAGGCCCCCCTGCTCACACTGCCAGGCAGCTTGTAGGGGTGGATGCTTCCTTTGGTGACACGGGAACAGAACCCCCTGCGGAGCACTGCCTGCCTGGCAGGTAAAGAACATCAGTTACAGGGGAGAAGGCACCGAGCCGGGCCAGGGTCGGGGGAGAAGGTCCTCACCTCAGACAGCAGTTTGGAGACGATTTCCAGGGGGGCTTGGTTGATGGAGTCATCCTGCAGCGGGGAGGTGAGGGCCATGTCCACCAGCGTCCGGATCTCTTTCAAGACCACTTCCCAGCGGCTTGGGTTACTCAGGACTTTCTTGTATTTGTAAATCTTTTTCTGGGAGGAAGAGAGAGAGAGACACAAACACGTCACTGATTTGAAGAGCTTGGATGATGCCAGCTGATGGAGGCTGGGGTGAAAAGGCCCTGAAACGCCTTCAACCTGGACTGTCCCCCTACCCCTGAAGGAACGGGACCCGTGAAGGAAGGAGCGTGTCAGCCGAGGTCACCGGGCGCGTCTGCAGACTGCCAGGTTCCTGACTCCGGAAGAGCAGTTTCCCACACTGGTGAACTTAAGAAGGGAACGGAGAGATTTCTCTTTCACATCCCAACTTCTGCCAAAGCTGCCTCCAAGTAGTGTGATAAGCTGGAGGCGCTGCTCCGCAGAGGCCAAGAGGTCCCTGTGACATGGAGTCCACGATGGAGCTCGGACAGGGCCAAGAGCCCAAAGCCCAGCTGGCGGGGGCAGAGCCCAGGCTGCCTCAGCATGCCCCAGTGAGGGGGAGGACTTCTCACCGGTGCGGCTGCCTCGGCCTGAGTGCCGGGCGGGGGCCGCGCCTCGGGTCTGAGGCTGAGCGGGTCCCGCCTGTGTGACATCACGGAAAGAGGCCGTTGGAGGCCGAGGCCGAGCCAAGCGCTTGCTCAGCTCGCTCCCTCCGAGTCTCTCGCTGGATGAACTCCTTCGTTAAGTGCTCCGCTCCTCAGGGAAATGCCTAATTTTAGTGTCACCGTGCCAGCAGCCAGCTGGGGTGACATGTCACAACCTCAGAGCCAGAGTCTGAGTGAGGAAGAGGGAAGGAGGAGGCTGACTGCCTGGGCTCCCACAGAAGGGCGCAGGCCGCCAGGGTCCCCCAAACGCTTCACTTCAGAGTTAAGAATCAGGAAGTGGTTTTAGGACGCGGAGCTAAGAAGGAGGTGCGTGGGGGCGTGTTCTGCAGCAAAGTGAACAATCACGAAGTGAGCAGCAGTGCTGGAACAGGAGGTCCACTGCGCTTGCTTAGGAATTTAGTCTGTTTTCTTGAAATAAGGTCTCACTACGCAGCCCAGGCTGGCCTCAAACTCTTGGTGATCCTCCTGCTTTGGCCTTCCAGGTGCTGGGGGTAAAGGCACGCACCACCACACTTGGCAAGGAGGCCGACTTTGGACTCCTTTCGGCATTCGCCTGCTGAGGCCTGGGTCCCTGTTCCATACATGAGCCACGAAAATCCCTCTCAGCGCCCTTCCGTGCAGCGCCAGTCCAGATCTCGGCCCCTCGTGGTCGGAGCCCTGGGCGAATTACATGCTCAGTCCACACGGAAGAGGCAATGCAAACACAGAGCACACCCTGGGCTCGCTCTCTCTCAGTGCAAAACACCAAGGGTGTGAGTGCGTAACCCAGGGCAACGCAGACCGTATCCTGTATCCTTTCCATCTGTTCACACCCTGTGGTCGTCTGTGGCCTCTTCCCAGCGAATCACGCCCAGCACGACCAGCATCACCCATACAGGCCGCACCCAAGGGGCTTGTGTCTCCCCTGGTCCTCAAGGTCTTTCTTACAGATTCACCTTCTCTGCCTCCCTCTTCCTCCGCCTCACTGATCTTTGCCCCTTCCCCATCTTCCTCAAGGAAGACAAGGAGATGGCAGTTTGCATGGGGGGGGGACGTTGGAGCGGGGGACCAGACACAGATTTGTGGACCCCAAAGCAGCATTAGAAATGTATGGCGCGTTGCACTGGGTGAGTACATGGTGTCTGGTAAACTCGGTACCAATGGCCTCGACAGCCACAACTAGTTTTTGCTGAGCTCCGTTACTAAAAAGGAGCACGAGGCACCTCAACTACACAGCCTTCACCAGAGCCGTAATTGGCCAGCGCATGGTGGCCATCGCTAGAGCCGCTCCGCCCGGCTCGGTGCCCTGTTAGCTCTACTGTGGTGTCCAGGTGAAACACGAAGTGTCCCGACCTAACAGGGTGACACCTCCCAGGGCAAGAACTGCCCACTCCTGGGAGCCCTGGAGGCTGTGGTTCCATCTGTACCCAGAGAACTGCTCAATTTTTAAATGACCATGAAATGATCACAGAAATGTCCCCCTTCTCCAGCCCGGAAGAAATCCAGCGATCCTGCTCGCGCCTGCCCTCAGCAGACTCCAGGCTGCGTGCAGTCCGAGTGCTCAGGGCCGCTCTGCGGGTCAGCTGCAAGTTATTTACTGTGGAGCAAATAATGACTTCATTCTTTTTTTTTATTTTGTGAAGATGATGCATGCTCGTTATAAAAAATTCAAACCATACTGCAGAGAACAAAAGAAGAGGGTAAATTAAAAAAGCCCTCCGAAGTGCCACAGCCCAGAAATAACCATCATTAATATGTGGTGAACACCATTCCTGCCAACCCTCATTTAAACTCTGCAAAATACACCCAGCCCGCGGGGAGAGGGGCCGTGAGGACGCAGACACACCGGCAACGCCGGCACCAGTGTGGCTTTGGAGACCGGCGCTTGTCTTTGGTGACCCAGCCTCAGCGCCACCAATAGCCCCACCTCGAAGTGAAAGCAGGCTGGAGCTCCTGCTTCGGAGGTGCGCGTCCAGGCCGGAACAAGGGTGGGCATTTAGTGAGTGCGTACTGTGTGCCAGGCCAGGTGCTGAGTTGTGACGACCGCTGCGGCCCCATGCAGCCTCACAGGGACCCTGCGAGCGGGGCACTCCGCATAGGTCTGGCGCCCGGAAGCAGACCCCGAGGCAGGAATGGAGTGCAAATGGGTTATCGATCTGTGACGCGATCGCAGGCAATGCTGGGGAGAAGACGGTCAATACATGGGCACCATCAAGCAGGCAGACTGAGGCAACTGGACTGTCCCCCTCCATGGGCCGTGGGTGCTCGGTCCTGCTGGGGACTCTGAGAGGGGGGCAGCCCAGCCTGGGGGTTGACCACCAAGAAGCCGGGGGCACGGGCATTCATCCCACTGCCTTTCCTTTCCCACGCTTCTGAATGAATGGGCCAGGCCACAGAGGTCCCAGAGGCACAGATCTACACACTGGGGCCCAGTCCGGGTGTCCAAGGGGCAGGTCTGTGGCTGGCAGGCGGTGCTGGGGAGCGGCCGTGAGCATCCTCTGCTGCGGGGGCGGGCGGCAGGTGATTCCCCGAGGCCGAGGGGCCAGGAGGAGACAGTGCCAGCATCAGAAGCAGCTCTGGCCAACTCCAAAGCTCTCGTTCTTTCCACCACACTGGTCAGGGCTCAGGAGCCAGCTGGGGGCGGCTGGAGTCTCCAGGACACAGTGCGGAGGGCAGCAAGAGGGACAAAGGGAATGGGGGTGCACGGGACGCAGGAACATGTCTGTGTGTTCTGAACACCAGACACAGACAGCCAGGGGCTGAGGACCCACGGAGGCAGGCCTGGGAGCAGCGCAGGACGGCAGGCCACGGTGCTGCCAGGGTGAGCTGTGGGCAGGCGAGGCTGCTGCTCCAGAAGGGCTGGGCACGGGGCCTGGCCACTCCCAGTGACACAGTGGCATGTCTCATCCTGGGAGCACGGATGCGCTCACCAGGCGCTGGATGAGTCATGAGGGGCGGGGAAGAAGCCACCTCTGGAATCCTCACCCCCAGAGCCCAGCGTCCAGCTTGCCACAGAGCTCTCTCTGCCAGGGGGTGGGTGGCCTAGTGGTTTGCCCCGTGTGGACGGAGCTCTGGCTGGCGCTGCGTAGAAGGAAGCTGAGTTAAAATGGGTGGAAACGACATAGGGGACCAAACCCGGCCGTTCTGCCTGGGTTTATACAACAAAACCGGGAACAGCCTTCGTGTTTTTAAGAGCATTGAAGGAAAAAACAATACAGATTATGCAACAGAAATTGAATGTGGCCCACAAAGCCCCAAATACTTGCTATCCAGCCCTCTATAGACAAGGTTTGCCAAGTCCTGGCTCACAAGGTCAAATCCCAGCCCAGGAGGTCACAAGGCAGGGGATGTCATTAGCCCCCAGGGAAGTGTGAGTTAAAAACCACCCAGAGAAACCATGTATTTCACACCCACTAGGATGGCTCGAAGCAAAAACCAAACACCACCAAGTGTTGGCAAGGATAGGGGGAAACAGAAACTGGGACCCTCTGCGCTGCTGGTGGAAGGAGGCTGGTGCAGCCACATTAGGAAATAGTTTGACAGTTTCTTAAAATGTTCAGCATAAACTTATCACAGGGCCCAACAGTTCCGTTCTCAGAAATCTGCCCGAGAGAAGGAAAAACATACTCCACACAAAGACACGCACGTGAGTGTCCACAAAACAGCTCCAGGTCTGTCGATGACTGAATGGATCAACCGGGGGAGCGGGGAGGATGTGGTGGCACACACCTATAATCCCCGTACTAGGGAGGCTGAGGCAGGAGGATTGCCATGAGTTCGAGGCCAGCCTGGGCTACACAGTGAGTTCAAAACCACCCTGAACTACACAGGGAGACCCTGTCTCAAAGAAAAAAGAAAAAATGGGGCGGGGGGTAAAGCCACAGTCTCCAGTAACAAAAAGCAACGAACTTGTGTGTACTATGGTGCAGGTGAACTGCACAGCCACTGTGTGAAGTGGGCGGAGCCAGGCACGAGAGGCACGGAACAGTGTCTGACACTTTCTATACAAACTGTAGAAAAGGCACATTTCCAGAGAACACGGACAGTGCCCTAGCATGCCTGATGCATGACACCGGAACTGGGCTGCAAAGAAACTCAAAGGCATCTTTCGGGATGCAAAAACGTTCTAAAACTGGATCATGATGATGGCTGCACCACTCCACAAATGTACTAAAACCATTACACTGCATTTTTACAACAGGTGAGTTTTATGGCCTGTAAATGGTACCTCACATAAGCTATCTTTTTTAAAAAAATGCCACCCCAGGGAGGTAAGAGTGTATCATACACAGCCAAAGGCAGGATGGCTTTGTGTTTAGGAGTACAGGTTTGGCAATAAGCAGACTTTAGCCCATTTCTAAGCTCTACTTCATCTACCCAGCCACCCACCCATTCATCTACCCCGCCCATCAAACCATCATCCACTCAGCTATCCACAAACCCATCCATCCACCTACCAAACCATCATCC